TTGTAGTGATTTCTCCCCTTCAAACGCTGTTTGTCGCCATGCAGTCGAATTTCCCCAGAGTGTATGCCTCGTGGTCTGGGTCAACCAGTGCCGCCATACATCACGGAGGTCAACTACTAGCCACGCCCCCCGTTATTTAAGACCTGACCGTGGTTCTCTCTTTCTACCTACACCAACCAGCCAGCAACACCTCCTCCTTCCGCCGCCTGGCGGCTGTCCGCCCCTGGCCAGAGCATGAGCGACCCAAAGCTGTCCTCCTCTTGAGCATCCTCACCAACCAACTCTCTACATCACGCTGTAACCATGCTGCCTTCCCAGCAAGTGCATTGTACATCAATACAACATGTATACAGAGAGCACATTGTGAGTTTCCATCCCATCTGAGTGAGACCAAACATCCCATACCCCCAAATGCACCGGAGATTTGCACTCACACAGGATGGAGAACCGATCACCTCCCAGTCTTCGCCAACATGGAAGACTGGCTTATCCACCCAGAAGCAGCTCACGTTTCAGCTACTGTCTCTAAACCGCAGGTTAGACACCCTAGAGCAGCTCTGCTTACTCAAGCAGACACCCGCTTCCTATTCCGCCCCAGGCACCACGTCCTACCGACCTCCAACACACCCGTCCTGCATCAGACGCCGCCCCCGCCCAGCAGTACCCCCTGCCGCCTGATGCAGCCCTGTTCCCGACGCCCGCATGCGCCTGGAGTGCGGACTAACAACTCGTCCTGCCTCAGACGCCGCCCGGCCCAGCAGTACCCCTGCCGCTTCTCCTGATGCAGCCCCTGCTCCCGACGGCAGCCCATGCGCCTGAGGTGGACCCACACACCCCTCAGGTACTCCCTGCTACTTTCTCACCCTGCTGCTGTCGGGACCCAGCTGCTGTCACGAGCCCTCACCCACTTGCTGACGCAGCCCCTGCTCCTGAACCAGGCCCACACATCCCAGCAGGCGCATCTGACGACTCTCACCTGCCTGAGGAAGCACAACATTCATCGCCTCCACAACCCTCTTTTCTCTCTCTTTCCCACAGATCTTGTGTGTCTAGACAGTTGCCTCCACTAGTGGCCGGCTCATCCACGCCCTCGCCGTTTGCACATATGAGGCATGCACCGCCCGTTCTTCCTCAAATGTGCCATACAACCCTGCAGACAACAAGTCACCTGCACCGCCTGGAGGAAGGAGAGTATTGTAGTGATTTCTCCCCTACAAACGCTGCGCCAGCGTAGCCGACCCCGGCGAATTCCCCAGTGTATGCCTCGTGGTCTGGGTCAACCAGCCACCATACATCAGGGAGGTCAACTACTAAGCCACGCCTACCCCTGCCATTTAAGACCTGACCTCGTGGTGATCTCTTTCTACCTACACCAACCAGCCAGCAACACTCTCCTCCTCCGCCTGCTTGGCGGTCCTCGGCCCTGCCGGCGAGCATGGCGACCCACAAGCTGTCCCCTCTGAGCATCCTCACCAACCAACTTCTTTCAGCTACAGCGCAGCAAGCTACACCACCTCCTCCGGCTGCCTGGCGTGCCTCGCCCGCCAGCAGCATGCACCCACAAGCTGTCCTTCTCTGAGCACCTCACCAACCAGCTTACATCACGCTTGTAACCATGCTGCCTTCCCAGCAACAAGCTGCATTGTACATCCAATACAACATGTATACAGAAAGCACATTGTAAGTTCCTTTCTCCATCCCATCCTGAGTGAGAACCAAACATCCCATACCCCATAATAATCACAAAACCTGTTTTTTAGAAAAAAACGGTTTTTTTATTCACGGTTTCAAGCTGGTTCATATTTATTTACGAAAGTGGTTAATGTTTTAAAGCAAATTCTATTTAAATATGAATGGCAAATGAGCAAAAATGAATAGAGGGAATTAAATGAGGTAGGTTAGGGAAATGTACTTGAAAAATGCATGTTTTATTTCCGTAGACTTTATGTACTATTAACCGACCTTTCGGATTATCCGTCGGCCCCTTCCCCATATATGTGGTCGGTTAATCGAGGTTTTATCAGAGATGAGGTGCTTCAACAGGAAACACGACTCTTCCTCTACCCAATAGTACAGGGTTTATTTGTCATTCTTCAACAGAAAGAGTCGGGCTTCCTGTTGAAACAAGAATCTGATTGGTTGATTTGTCACTATCAATCGGAGTGCCACATGTAGTAGATGAGGATGATAGTGGATGTAGTGTAGATGATAGTACAGTAGATGTGTGTAGATGATAGTGCAGTAGGTGTAGTGCAGTAACAGAGAAAGGGCAGTAATGTAGTGTAGATGATAGAGGTAATGGTAGATGAGTAGTAGTAGTGTAGATGATAGCAGTAGGTAGATGATAGTAGTAGGTGTAGTAGAGATAGCAGTAGGTGTAGTGTAGATGATAGTGCAGTAATGTAGTGTAGATGATAGTGCAGTAGGTGTAGTGTAGATGATAGTGCAGTAATGTAGTGTAGATGATAGTGCAGTAGGTAGTGTAGATGATAGTGCAGTAATGTAGTGTAGATGATAGTGCAGTAATGTAGTATAGATGATAGTGCAGTAGGTGTAGTGTAGATGATAGTGCAGTAATGTAGTGTAGATGATAGTGCAGTAATGTAGTGTAGATGATAGTGCAGAGGATGATAGTGTAGGTGTAGTGTAGATGATAGCAGGTGTAGATGATAGTGCAGTAATGTAGTGTAGATGATAGCAGTAGGTAGTGAGAGGTGTAGTGGAGAGGTGTAGGTGTAGTGAAGTAGATGATAGCAGTAATGTAGTGTAGATGATAGTGCAGTAGGTGTAGTGTAGATGATAGTGCAGTAATGTAGTGTAGATGATAGTGCAGTAATGGTGTAGATGATAGCAGGCGTAGTGTAGATGATAGCAGTAATGTAGTGTAGATGATAGTGCAGTAAGTGTAGTGTAGATGATAGTGCAGTAGTAGTGTAGATGATAGTGCAGTAAGTGTAGTGTAGATGAGCAGTAATGTAGTGTAGATGATAGTGCAGTAATATAGTGTAGATGATAGTGCAGTAGGTGTAGTGTAGATGATAGTGCAGTTATGTAGTGTAGATGATAGTGCAGTAATGTAGTGTAGATGATAGTGCAGTAGGTGTAGTGTAGATGATAGTGCAGTAATGTAGTGTAGATGATAGTGCAGTAGGTGTAGTGTAGATGATAGTGCAGTAATGTAGTGTAGATGATAGTGCAGTAATGTAGTGTAGATGATAGTGCAGTAGGTGTAGTGTAGATGATAGTGCAGTAATGTGGTGATGGAATGTGTGATGTGGTTAGTGTGAGGTAGATGATAGCAGTAATGTAGTGTAGATGATAGTGCAGTAATGTAGTGTAGATGATAGTGCAGTAATGTAGTGTAGATGATGGCAAGTAGTGTAGATGATAGCAGAGGTGTAGTGTAGATGATAGGGAATGTAGTAGATGATAGTGCAGTAATGTAGTGTAGATGATAGCAGTAGGTGTAGTGTAGATGATAGTGCAGTAGGTGTAGTGTAGATGATAGTGCAGTAGGTGTAGATGATAGTGCAGTAATGTAGTGGTGGATGAAGTGCAGTAATGTGTAGATGATAGTGCAGTAATGTAGTGTAGATGATAGGTGGAGGTGTTAGTGTAGATGATAGTGCAGTAGGTGTAGTGTAGATGATGCAGTAATGTGAGTGTAGATGATAGTAGGTGTGTGTGATGATGCAGTAATGTATGTAGATGATAGTGCAGTAGGTGTATGGTGGTGTGTAGATGATGTGTGAGTGGGTGATGAGCAGTAGGTGGTGTAGATGATAGTGCAGTAATGTAGTGTAGATGATGCAGTAATGTAGTGTAGATGATAGCGCAGGTGTAGTGTAGATGATAGCAGTAATGTAGTGTAGATGATAGGTAATGTAGATAGTGTACTCACTGTCACTACACTTGACTCACTAAAACGTGCCATGGGAGAAGATTCCAAGCTATTTATTTTTTAATGATAGTCTATACTATATCAAGGTATATAAAGTGGAACTGTACTCTCATTCTGAATCTATTGAACATCAAAATACAATTATGTCTAACTTAAAGAAACAACGAGACTTAACGAATACGTGAATGTTTTAGGATTTAAATTTATGTGTGAGCTTTAACCGGGGCCCACGCCACCAAATTTGGGTAAGGATCGTTTCGATGTGAGCTAGCAAACCTTATATGAAGGATATTGTCGTTAAATAACTTGTAGGCGCAAACACTGAGAAGCCAACTGGAGGCAATGCTGAGCCGGCTCCGTGTGCAGGGCGTAAGCTGTGTTGGGGTTTATGTTGAAAAAGATTGATTCTAAGTGAGCATGCTGGCCTCACTCTGTTTTAATATTTCAAAATATACTGTAACTCGATGAAATTTGATCGATAATGCTATAAGTACACGAAACCCTGTAAGTATGTTGAATGTTAGTCATACTATGAGACCTAAAATATGACAACATTTGTATAAATGAAATGATCATCATGTCACCATAATTGACTTTGGTGTAGCTTGGGGGAGTAAGTCACATGCACTTCCTGACTCAAATCTAGTATGCCCTGAGCACGAAGGCAGGGAAGTGCTCTATGCCAGTGAAATATATAGTATAGGTAGGATTCAGCTCATCACATATTCTTCATAAACCTTGAGGTATGGTACTGGATATAGATGTCTGTAAACTAGAATCAAAAAAGAAGGATACCAAATTTAACTATGATTCAGATTTAAGTTTGAAGGCTTCTATCCCTTCAGTGCCAAAAGATTTAAGAAAAACGTTGGAAACCTAGATGGTGAAAAACAATTGAGGATGCAGTCCCAAACAAAGCCAGAAGAATCAGATGGCAAGAAACAATTGAGTATGCAGTCCCAAACAAAGCCAGAAGAATCAGATGGCAAGAAACAATTGAGGATGCAGTCCCAAACAAAGCCAGAAGAATCAGATGGTGAAAAACAATTGAGGATGCAGTCCCAAACAAAGCCAGAAGAATCAGATGGTGAAAAACAATTGAGGATGCAGTCCCAAACAAGGCCAGAGGAATCAGATGGTGAAAAACAATTGAGGATGCAGTCCCAAACAAAGCCAGAAGAATCAGATGGTGAAAAACAATTGAGGATGCAGTCCCAAACAAAGCCAGAAGAATCAGATGGTGAAAAACAATTGAGGATGCAGTCCCAAACAAAGCCAGAAGAATCAGATGGCGAGAAACAATTGAGTATGCAGTCCCAAACAAAGCCAGAAGAATCAGATGGTGAAAAACAATTGAGGATGCAGTCCCAAACAAAGCCAGAAGAATCAGATGGCAAAAAACAAAAGAAGATGCAGTCCCAAACAAAGCCAGAAGAATCAGATGGTGAAAAATAAAAGAGGATGCAGTCCCAAACAAAGTCAGAAGAATCATATGGCAAAAAACGAAGGAGGATGCAGTCCCAAACAAAGTCAGAAGAATCATATGGCAAAAAACGAAGGAGGATGCGGTTCCGTTCAAAGCCAGAAGAATCGGACGGCAAAAAACGAAAGAGGGTGCGGTCCCGTACAAAGCTAGAAGAATCAGATGGCAAAAAACGAAAGAGGATCCAGTCCCAGACAAAGCCAGAAGAATCATATGGCAAAAAACGAAAGAGGATGCAGTCCCAGACAAAGCCAGAAGAATCAGATGGCAAAAAACGAAGGAGGATGCAGTCCCAGACAAAGCCAGAAGAATCAGATGGCAAAAAACGAAGGAGGATTCGTTTCAATACAAAGCCAAAATATTCGGATGGTGGAAAACAAAAGAGATGATGCGGCCAATTAAAAACCCAAAACAATCGAATAGTGTTTTTTTTTAAGGGGATTAGCCTACCCACACACATTGGCACCTGGGAGCAAAAAGAAAATGAATTGAATGACAACTGAATAAATAAATGAAAAAAAAGAGAATTAATTGAAGCCCTGAAATTGTGAGTTACAGTGAAAATGTACAAATATAATTGAAAGACATTTCAAATCAGAGGCAGCAGCTTCATCAGTCACTCCAACTCACTTGATATGATTTTGACAGGAGTCACAGGTGGCAAAATTCTATTGACATTCCCAGAATATATACGTGAAGAACTGTGAGGAATTGCACAGAAGTTATCGAGTGTGCTTTTTTCCTTCATATATATATAGCAGCTCATTCGCTAGACGCCACCCTCCGGGAGGCTCCACATTGTCTCACTGTTCAGTCCCCAAAACTTCTTCTTCCATCAATAGTTCATTAACGGTGTATGTAAGTTCCACCATGTTTTTCACTACAACGGTACAGCAAAGTATATTTTTTTAGCATTAAACTGTTATTATTTTATTGTCTAATCATCACTACATATAACACCATCCATCATCACCACATATAACATCATCCATCATCACTACATATGACACCACCCATCATCACTACATATAACACCATCCATCATCACTACATATAACACCATCCATCATCACTACAGATCGGTAAAGTAGTTTCCAAGATTCTCGTGCGGACACACAGACAGACTTCTTTGTTTTATATATATAGATGCCTTGTTTACTGAGGGCTTGCTAAACTGGTTAACAATACATGTGTCCCCGGCTCACTTTTGCTTCAGGTCACCCTCTCTACCTACTGCATCCTTGACAAGTGTCGTTATAACCCCTCCATCCACCCAGCCCCGCCAAGGCTTGTATACACCGCTGGTACAGGACTGTAACTAGACCATGCAGTCAGTGAACACACTGCCCTAAATTTGCAGCCAGTCTTCTTTCCTTAGGTGAAGGAGGGGAGTAAGGGAAAGAGGAAGGAGGAGGTAAGGCCCAGTTATGCCTATGACATCACACTCACAGGTCACTACCATCATCAGCATAATCATTACCATCATCATCACTACCATCATCATCAGCACTACCGTCATCACTACCATCATCATCATCACTACCATCATCATTACTACCATCATCACTACCATCATCATCAGCACTACCGTCATCAGCAGTCCTATACAAGGCAGAAGGATCAGGTGAGGGATCATTATTGTTTTTTGTTTCGTTTTTTTTGGGGGGGGGGGTGATAATAATAAGTATACAGTATATATTTTTATTTTTCCACAAATTTATTCATACACTTTTACTGTACTCTTGTTAACTGCATAGGTACTAGCAATCCTCTACTACTAGTATAATAATAACAAAAACAAATATTAAGTAATTGAAATTAAAAAAAAAATAATTGTATGTGTTCCAAACTTTCATTACTCACATTATGTATTACACTTAATTGTTTGTTTGATAAATTCAACAGTGTTTGAGAAAATTGCGAGAGTAAGAGATCTTGCCGGATTTCGTGATGTTGTCTCGCACTCAGGATGGGTTGGAGAAAGGAAACTCTTTAGGGTGGTTTTCTTATATAAATATATTGAATGTACAGCGCAGTCTGGTGCTGGGAAGTTGCTGTGAGGTTAGGAGCTTGCTGAGAGGAGGTGTTGGATAAGGAGCTTGCTGAGAGGTGGTGTTGGATAAGGAGCTTGCTGAGAGGAGGTGTTGGATAAGGAGCTTGCTGAGAGGACGTGTTGGATAAGGAGCTTGCTGAGAGGAGGTGTTGGATAAGGAGCTTGTTGAGAGGTCTTGTTGGTTCGGGAGCGTGGAGTAGAGAGGCCTTCACGGCTAGGCTGAGGAGCTTATATAGGAGGTAGACGTCGCTGGTAGCCGACCCCGCTCTGTCAAACCACGAGGCTTTGGCTGGGAAACTGGACAAGGGATTGGCTGGTCAACGACAAACGACAGTTGTAGTTGTAGGGGAGAGTATCCACTACAATCTATTCTAACTAAAGTTAGCTGTGTGATCAATCAACCAGAGTAACTTTCTCACATCAGAGGGCAGCCAACCACAGTCCTTCACTCTAAATGTTCTCGGGCTGTTTTTACTAATAAAGGGGCCCCAGTTTTTAATTTCATTCATCCATCCCATTCTCTGCCTTCCCCTGGCTCTCCTACCTTCAATTTTGTCCATTAATATTTCTGTTATTATTCTCCCATCCCTAATTATTTGACCAAAGTATCAAATTTTTTCCTGTACATTTCAAGTATTTCTTTTGAAGTTATTGCTAATCTTATTTCTTCTTCATTTGTCATTGCAGCTTATTTTTAGCATTCTCCTATAACACCACATTTCAGAGGCCACCAAACTCTTTCTGGTGTCTGCATGAAGTGTCCACGCTTCTGAAACAAGCATCAGTCCTTCCTATATAAAGCCTTTCAGCAGCCTTTTTCTCACATTTAAGTTAATGTCCTTTTTCATTGGGTTTTTTTTAGATTATTTTTGCTTGCCCTATTCTCGTTATGATTTCTTCCACACATCTTCCATCACAACTAATGTTACTTCCCAAATACACAAACATTTTCCACCTGTTTAAGTTCCCTCTTGTCTACCATAATTTTTATTTTAGGATTTATTTCCAATTTGGAAACAGCTATTACTTTCGTGTAGCAGCATTAACTCTTAAACCAGTTTTTACCCCTTTTCACTAAACTGTTAACAAGTTTTTGCAATACCTCTTCACTATTTGTGATAAGAGCAGTATCATCTGCAGAGCATATACAGTAATATGATTAATATCTCTTTTATCCGAATTTCCTCTTTGCTGGAACTCTCCTACAACTGAAATTGAAAATTTATCTGAATTCCGGGTTTGGGATCGAATTTCTGAGGTTGAAAATCAGGTGCATTATCGGAAAATTTTGAGACAAATTTGGGACTCTCCAAATTTTTTCTGGGTCTGGGAGCAAATTCCAAAGATGAAATATTGCACTATTTTCGGACAATTCTGAGAAACCTTTCCCAGTACAGTAGGCGAAAAAATTCCTGTTATAGGGGATTTTTTCCAGGTTTAAGAGTTATCTTGTTACCCACAGATCTCTCAATCTCGGAAGTGCTCTGCACCATTTGTTCCGGCTAATGGAGGCACTACTTTACCATTAACTTTTAGTCCTTCAAAATCAAATAAAACTTCTCTCATTAAGAATTTTGAATACATATTATACTGTACATTGTTGGAGATGGAACACAGCTTCTTCATACACAGCCTTCTCTTACTTCCTGTTTAACTGTGAACCGATTAGTAAGTTCATTATTTACTCACACTACAGCCTCCTGCTGCCAGTAAAAGATTCCTTTGAATTCTAGTAGAGTATTTCCTTTATTAATGCCTATTTTTTCCATAATCTCTACAAGTTTATTTTGCTTTACCTTAACAAAATTTTTTTTTTAATTGTCAAAACAGATATTGTACTATACAGTACATTTGTTTGGACCTTTAAAGCCCTTTCACTCAAAATTATCCTTCAATAGTTTATTTTTCCTTTCTAATTCCATTTTGCTCTTCAGGTAACTCACTTTCTATTCTAAATTTGGTTTTACTTAAAATTATGATTTAATAAAACTTTATTACCTTGACTTACTTTTATCCTCTTCAACACTGATCGCCTAGTTTGCCGTTTGGGCGATCGGTCACATCTCTGTTACACACTGTTGGCAAGTACTGGGCATGTACTGGCTCCTGAATGTACCTGAACCTGTTCCAGTGTTGGTCAAGTCTGGTCTTGAAAGAGCTCACACTCGGTGCCGTCACAACACTCTCTGGCAGATTGTTCCAAGAGTTCACAACTCTCACTCCGAAAAAGTTTGCCCCTCACAGTTTTCTGGACTTGCGGCTTCTTCAATCTTGAGCTGTGACGTAGGCATGACTTATTAAGTTTATTGTTCTAAACTGCGTGCACTCAATTTGTGTTTCCAGAATTGGCATTACGGTCTTTATTACCTATTTGTTTCTTACCTCTACTCTATCCTTATCATTGTATAGTTCTTCTATGTACTCTGCCCATCTCTCTTCTACTTCTGCATCAAACAGGATCTTATAGTCTTTGCTTTTAATAGTCTCGCCCCATTTATATCCTTTTTTCTGCTTCATTTGTTCAATCTTTCTATACATCTTCCTATAATTATGCCTTCTGTCATCATCTTCAGTCTGAAGGCATTTCCTTTGTTAATTTTTATGTAAACCTCACTTCGTTTTCTCACATTCCTTCGTCTATCTATTTTCTTAAAATTTCCTGTCATCCACTTCAGTACTTTCAGTCTCGTTCCTCTACGTCCTTTAAGTTTTCCCCAGTCTCTTACATTACTTCTTAGTTATTATTACATTGTTGTCCAGGTCCTTGTTCACCAAAGTTACCCTCTACCAATAAGAGAAATTTGTTTTTGGTTTACTTTCATATTCTATCCCTGCCCATTTTGATATATTCCATAGTTTTCTTTTTAATATTTGAAGTTTTAGTCTCACTAAACTCATTACTGGGACGTGATATGACCCATAATCTACCCCTGGATAGGTCTTAGTTCTGGTTATTGAATTTCTGAACCTTTCCTGAATTAAAATATAATCTACTTGATTCCTGATGATGCTGTTTACATTGTCCTGGGGTGAGACCCATGTATAAAGATGCCCAGGGTGGTGTTAAAACCATGTATGTGCGGTATTTGCAATTGTATCATCTTGTTCTCCTTACAAAAGTCAATTAATATTTTGCCTACTACTGCTGCTGCTCCACCCTCCTCCTCCCAGCCATGTGCCACTTCCCAGTTGCCCGCCACTCCATCAACCACCACTGCATCACCCTCTTCCACCAGTGATCCCCTTATGCTTCAGTAACCAGATGTCTCCCTATGTACAGTGCACCACTTCATCAAACTCCAAACTTGTACATACAAATGTAAGTACAGTACAGTGTTGGTAACTTAAGTTTCTCAAACACAATATAGGAATACAGTACCTGCATATTAGTGCACTAAGGTATTATATAAGTTGCTATTTGCAGTTTTGCCAACTCGCACCATTTCTCCTTATTCTTAAGACAAATTATATAATTGCTTACATATACAGTAACACTTTACAGTAAATAACAATCATCTTGGTGAAAACAGTTGTTGACAACCAAACTTAAGTCTGATATTCAACCCAGAGAGTTCCGTTTCATATTTTTTTATTACCGTAATGATGTACCCATTCTTTTAATAACCTTGTTATACACTTAAGGACCTTTTTTGGGGCATTGAATGTGAATTATATTGGTTTTATATAATTTCTAATATTTTGTTATCATATAATATTATGTACGGTACTTATATAAAGAAGTTCTGAATTAATATTCTAATTGTAAAAGATGTACAGGTACTCCCGGACTTACAACGGGGTTAGGGACCGACATCCAGGTCGTAAGTCGGAAATGCTTAAATAACACATAGAAAATCGAAAATTTGGGTCTCTTTTTCTTCTCAGCACCACAAAACACTCACTTTTAAGCTTGCCAGCCATTTTAAAGTGAATTACAGATGAAAATTTTGTCTGTGTACTAACTTTGGGACTCAAAAATACATAATTTGACCACATTTTGGTACGACTGAGGCGGTCGTAAGTGCGGGTGGACGTAAGTCGAGTCGGTCGTAAGTCGGGGAGTACCTGTAGTTTGGATAATGTTTTGGAGTGGTCTTCTTCTTCTGGGATAAATACAATGGTGTGGATGCGAGACCAGCGACTGCAATCTTATTTCATCCACGGTGTATCCTATATTTTGAAATTAATTTACTCACCAGTAATATGGGTGAATATTAAGTGATACTTTTGTGAATGAAGGAAGAGCCATATTATGGGATTAAGATAGATAAACTACTAAATTAGTTGGGTCACAGGACCATGCAGTGTTAATGACTGTGCTATTGTTTACTATAAAATAATAGGTGTTAATTGTTATAATTTAATATTTCTTATACAGTACAGTATTCCTTACTTTGACTTCCTTTACATAATATAATGAATGGTTTCCTTGGGTGTGTTTTCACAATGTAATTACTGTATATTAAATGTCATCTTCAACTGTCATCTGGAGGTAGCAAAGGATTGTCTGCATGATTCTGGTCTGTTAACCAAAGCTGTTATTTCAGAACATAAGTCCGATTAATGAGCCTAGGAGTTGAAGCACTGCTGAAAGAGGAGAATTATTCAGTAGTGGCTGTGATAACAATAAAACTAGGATCTTTTGCTGAATGGAAATACAAACAGTGTTAAATTTTTCCCTGCAAAGTTTTTATTTGTAACAGACCATTTGATTTTTAAATTTTCTTAATTTATATTTGCAGAACGTGTGAGTTTTGATTTTTCCTCATGTTTGTATGGGCTACACGTTATTGAAACATTGATATACATGTATATAAAATTATTGCACAAACAAAAATTCAAAATTTTAATGATTTACAGATTTAGTACAGTACAATACAGTACATGTACTGGCAAATTTCCCCTGAATAATTTTCATAAGTTTTTAATAGTTAAATCGTATCATTATTCTATTTGTTTTAAATTCTGTTCTCACTCCAAAAATTACACTAAAAAAATTAGTACAGTGTTGTCATATCAAATCTTTTTTCATATACATTTTTGATACAGTTGTAAAATCTAATTTTTTTATATCGTCTTTTTTAATTTTTGGAGGAGGAGGAGGAGGAGGTGGAGGGGGAGGTGGCTTCTGGTTGGTGGAGAAAGGTGTAGTTTCACCTGACCCAGAAGGAAGATCTTTTTTCTCTAGAGTCTGACACTGCACTGGAAGCCCCTTTGTTACTTTCTCAGTATTAGTCACTGATGTTGCTATTACTTTCTTATTAGTGTTAGATACTACTGACGTTAGAAACTGCTTAGGAAGAAGGTGTCTGTTAACAGTTCCACCATATATACACACAGGAGCACAAAATTCATAACCAAGCTTGCCATAAAACACTTGTTGGTCATGTGTTGATAAGTAAATTGTGCTAAAACCACAAGCACGGGCATATTCTTCAGTCTTCATTATGAGTAATCGCCCATAACCTTTTCCTCGTAGATCTTGACGAATAACTACCGATTCAATCCACGCTGCACCTTGTTGTTGAGGCAACACATTTATTCTTGAATGTCCTATGACTTCCATATTTTGTTCAGCGGTGTTTCGTAGGAGTGCCAGTGATGTGGGCAACTGGTCACATGATGAGTGAAGAGATCTTAACCTAAAAAAAAATAAAAAAATAAAATTATTAGACACAGAACTGTAGTGCAGTTCCCTCCCAAACAGTATACAGTATTTTCAATACATGATGGTCCCCAACCTGTAGTTTGTGGCCGCAAGGGTTTATTAGAAAACTAGCAGAAACGCTCTTTCGCTAGGCCACGGTAGAATGGACAGCCTAGAAAAGTTAGAGATCAAAGAAAAGTAAGCTGTAATGAGAGAGAGCATAAGGATAAAATTAGCTATAATACGTGGAATGTGATACGACTTTTCAACCTCTGTGTGGTGTAACGGATGGAGGTTAGATGCAGAGAAAAGTAAGCCATAATGAAAGAGAACCTAAGGATCAAAATAGCTGTAAATCATAGGCAGGAATACGACTTTTCTACGTGTGTGTGTCCGGGCTAACTGTTTGTCTCTCTCTCTTTCTCTCAGGCGTGTCGGGTTGGTTGGAGTTTTTTTGAGATCCCCACATGACACTTGCTATCCATGCCAAGTTTGGTCCAGATCGGTAAAGTAGTTTCCGAGATTCTCGTGCGGACACACAGACAAACAGACTTCTTTGTTTTATATATACAGTATATACGTTAGATTTTAAAATATTTGGGATTCTTTTTCAGTGAAAATAATGAAAATATGTAATAACTTGATACGACATGTACAGAACGTGTGTATTTACCCTAGACTGCGCCCAGAGAGACGTATTGTTTGTACTGTATATGGAAGTTCGTGTGCTATATGGACTAATGAGATATATATGTTGCCTCGTGTTTCCTAGATGGATTCGGTAAAATGCTACTCTGACCACATAGTTGGCACGGGCAATCCCCAATGGAGGTTCATGTTGCATAACAAAGAGGAATGAACAGGCTATGTATGAAATAAAACAAAGCCCTTATGATGTTGTGGTTGCCTCGGGCGACTGGGCGTATGTGAATTTCTACCCCCGATCTGCAATTTATATTTTAACACCCCTATTCGATATTTGCAAAGCGTACCCCGCGGGCTAACCACTGCTTTCATATTCCAAAGTAAGGCCCACTTCACACGAGCATTTTTTTTTTAGCATAAAACCAAGTGTTCTAGAATTCTTCACATTGCAAGCATGTTTTTTTTCTGTGCATCAGTTGTGGTGCATCTATGGTAGAGGCTGGAAGTACCTGTGATTATTTTAGTCAGATGCAGGCGAAATGAAACGTGAAAAACACTCCTGTGTGAACACATGCCTTCTTCCCCACGCAGGCCTAAGCAAGGCCTGATGTATTGAACAAGTGTGCGTATGGACTGGCAGGTTGCCAACCAGCATAGTGTTTTACCTCTCCCCCGTCTGGGCCAACCTTTGAGTTGCGTTGTTATTTTTCAACTCGTAATTTTGAGTAGATACAGACAGACCCCGACTTACGACTGCTACGACTTACGACCGTCGGGACTTACAACCGCCGCAGATTTTTTATAAAAAAAAAAAAAAAAAATTTTTTTCAAATGACACGCATTTTCTATACCGAAACGTTTCCAGTTAATGTAGTCTCCATGTATAATTAGAAAATTATGGGGGCCCCATGTGCATTCAGCTGACTATATTAAAGGTAAGTGCTCAGTCACACTGTATCCATTCCTTATTATTTATTACTTTCACTGTACTGTATCCATTCCTCATTATTCATTACTTTTACTGTACTGTATTTCATTGTAGATTATTTATTTAAAAAAAAAAAAAATTTATCTATGTCGGACTTACGACCTGGATTTGGGTCCCTAACCCCGTCGTAAGTTGGGGTCTATCTGTATATGTATTTTTGTTTAATTATTTACTCTGTCACATGCACACACAAATGTTCAAACAGGATTTGCAAAAATAAAAAATAAAATAAATACAGTAGGGTCGGGATATATCGCGAGATAGGGTCCAAGGATGTTCGCTATGCAGGTGTATACTAAATCGCGATATATAATTACATGTAATCAATGGGGAAAATAGGGCACAGTCTAAAGTTAGCAGAATATAAATAAAATTGCTGGAATCCTTGCAAGTCAGCGAATAATGTGACAGTAGACATCACATATTTTGCACAAGAGATAAAAATTTTAATTATATGTACTAATTAAGTACTAAATTTCTTTTGTCTATTGCGAACTACAGCATGTTTATATTCAAACTAATCACTATCTTATAAGAATTCCAGTACATATAATGTTAATTATATTCTCCCAGGTCAGTTTAGTGACATTTTATATGAGAAAAACTTAAGTCACTCTTAAGGACAGATAAATAAATAAGCACTAGACCTTGGCATCAACTGTCAAACATATCACCTCACCTCCCTCCCTCCCCCCAGGGTTGGGTGGTTTTAGGCCGCTCCTCAACTTACGATGGGGTTAGGGACCAGAATCCAGGTCGTAAGTCGAAAATGCGAAGATAATACATAAAAAATCTCAAATGGGTGTCTCTTTTTCTTCTCAGCACCACAAAACTCTCACTTTTAAGCTTGCCAGCCATTTTAAAGGGAATTACAAGCGAAAATTTTGTCAGTACACAGCGCAATCACTAACGTCGGGACTCGAAAATACGTAATTTGAAAATTTTTTGGTACGACTGGGGCGGTCGTATGTTCGGGTGGTCGTAAGTCGAGGAGTGGCTGTACAGTGATTTAAGGGCGATTTAGGAGTGTTTCTGACTTTACATGAGGTCCCAGGAACGTAACCCTAGCATAAGTTGCGAGTTTATTGTACAGTATATTGGAAAATTTCAATAATTTTGGTAGTAGTGATAAATTTGAAATATTTCCTGCACGTTATATAAAGTCGCTATATATCCAGACCCTACTGTGATTATCATGAGGTAAAAACCTAAAGATAAACATTTATGTCTACAGGAGTTACCGTAGTGTGTAGTTGTGGGAGGGGGTGGTGGGTGTGGATGATGTGAGGTACAGTAGTGGGATGTGGGGTAATTGTGGGAGGGGGAAGGAGGGGGTGGTGGGTGTGGATGATGTGAGGTACAGTAGTGGGATGTGGAGAAAGCAAAAGGAACATACAGTGAACATACAAATTAATGTTTACAGTGGAGGTCACGAAGATCACACGCGCTGAGGTTATTGTTATTTTTCAACTCGTATTTTTGGGTAGATATATGTTTTTGAATCTTTTTACCGTTACATGTACACACAATCTTCAAACAAAATGTGAAAAAAAAAAAAAATTAAGGTAAAAAATATAGATAAAAAAAACCTTTCTTACCGCATCAGACTGTGGGAGGAGGGAGCGGTTGTGGAGACCTCAGCCCCCCCTCCCCCAGTCTCCTGCACACAGTGAAACTATTGGCAACTGGCAATGTGGTATTTTTTCTTTTATTTTATTTATTAGTATAATTTATATTCATCACATTTACTGGTATTATGGTATACGTGCGACGCTGGTCCCTAATAGCCTTAGACATTGAGGAGTACAGTACAGGGTATAATATATATATAAAAAAAGCTGTATGTGGTTAATGTTGCCGACTGGGAATGCACCACCCCCCCATTTACATTAATTCTTATGGAGAAACTTGTCCCGATATTCACAGTTTCATTAATTGCAACGACTTTTAGGAACGCATCCCTTGTGATAACCAGGGTATTCCATTACTGTACTTTACCTGCAATAAGAAAACAATTATGTATGACGACTCTTTCATGAGCAATGTTCTGACCTGAGAGTTTTACTGCGAGGCCACTGATCGTTCAGGATATTCATACAATCTTCTGTGTATTCTGGATGACGATGAAGAGCAATAATCTCAGTTTCTCCGCCTTCCTCACTTGGGCTAGTCATCTTTATATCTGGAATATGCAGAATATGGTAGCATTTTCATTTAACTTTTCACTAGGTATTAATGTAAAGCTTTCTTTTAATTAGTCATATTTGATTTTAAAATTATCTGGTCAATTATCTTCCACATTTCCCATACAGTGCAGTACAGTACAGTAGTACCCCGATTTACGCGGTCAATTGAACCCACAGGGTACCGCGTTAAGTGAAATCCGCGTAAAGTGAACAACAGAACTTATGGGATTAATTCCAATAGAGACTGGCTCGACCCCCAACTCTACTTTTTCCGACACAATACCTATGTTCTAGTAAAAATAACATCTTAATTTTATGATGGTACAGGCACACAATTAATACTTAAAAGAAATAGAGAAATACAGTCGCCAAGTTAATGTCTATTCAAATAATGGACTCAACTCCCTCCCCCTCTTCTCACACTACACTCGCTGGCTCTTCCCTCTCTGAGAAATTTTGGGGGGAAAACCACTAAATTTTAACATTTAGTAATAAATAATACTTCAGATTAAAGTTAGGATAATATAATTGACATTGCTGAATTCCTTGTAAGACCAGGAATATTTTGAATATAAATGTCATATATTTTGCACAAAAGATAATATATTTACTCTGAGTAAACAAAATACTTACATTAATCTAAAATTTGTATGTCTAATGCAAAATCTATGATGTTTATATTCAAAATGATCATCAAATTGTAAGAATTCCAGCAATGTAAATTACATTCTGGCCGGGTAATTTGTATGAATTTTGTGAGCTAAAACAAATATCTTCTTAATAAAAAAAAAAAATATTCTTTACACAGTGCCAGATGGTCGGTCGGTCCCCACCTCCCACCAACCCTCCCTACCAGATGTGTGGGAAAACCAGAATATTTACCTTTTTAGTAATAAATAATACCTCAAACTAAAGTTAGGATAATATAATTGACATTGCTGGATTCCTTGTAAGACCAGGAATATTTTGAATATAAATGTCATATATTTTGCACAAAAGATAACATATTTACTCAGAGTAAACATTATATCTAAAATTTGTATGTCTAATGCAAAATCTATGATGTTTATATTCAAAATGATCATCATATTGTAAGAATTCCAGCAATGTAAATTATATTCTGGCCGGGTAATTTGTATGAATTTTATGAGCTAAATAAAAAAATAAAAAATTATACTTCACCGCGTATATGGGTAGATGAATCGTGTTAAGTGAAAGTTTGGTTCTGGCGAGGCACCGCGTATATGAGAAATCGCGTTAAGTGAAACCGCGTAAAGCGGGGAAATACTGTATATGATTTATCCAATCTTAATGACACCATCAATCTATCTACACTAAAAGTCCAAAAATCCGGATGCCAGAAATCCAGACCACCCGAGAATCCGGACTTTTCAAAAACTCAAACTTTTTTTTTTAGCTGGCTTTTGTGTGTATGTGCGCATGCGTGAGCGCCACAGCTGCACAGCGACAACAAGCGACCACGCGGTTGCCACTTTAAAACGAGCCATCAAACTGTGACAACGTACAGTGGGGTATGGTATAACGAATCTAATTGGTTCTAGAACCTTGTTCGTTATAGCATTCGTTAGTAATAGGATTAATCCGTTCCAGGCCCCAAATACAACCACTAACACTGAAAAATATAATATAAAATTGTAAAAATTGTAAAAAAGTGCATAAATATGCATCTAAACCCCTGAAATAAAGAGTATCATTAATACTTGTAATAAAAAAACAATAAATTAGTAAAAAAAAAAAAAAAATTATTTTTTTTAAATAATGTTCGTTGTAGGAGTTTCATTCGTTATAGCATTCTCAATTTTATAGGTAAAACCGTTCGTTATAGGAATATTCGTAGTAGGATCCGTTCGTTATAACATACCCCACTGTATGTAATTTTGAGTCCCACTCTTTCCATTTACAGAGCCCATAATAATGGCTCCTAAAGTAGATAAACTTCGTTGTGTGAACAGAAAGAAGAACACGTTGAAATTGAGTGACAAACTTGAAATAATTAAAGTAGAACGTGGTGTGAGCAATACTGTTCTAATGGAAACATACGACATTGGAAAGTCTACAATTTATGATATAAAAAAGGCAAAGAATAAAATTCTAGAATTCACAGCTTTTTCTTTAAAACTGCTCGTTTTGATAAATGAAGCATGCTATATTTGCTGATGAATGAACTATCAAAATGTACCTGTTCATCTCTTCTTTATTCCTCCTTAAATTAAAATTTTAAAAGTACTGCCTGAGAATCCGGAAAATCCGGACCGACCCAATCCCCAATCAGTCCGGATTTTTGGATTTCTACTGTATCATTTATAATATATTCTTCACCTCACATACCTACATGAGAAAGTGATGTAGATCATCCTGCTTAAACATCATTCAATGAAAACTTAGCTTCTGAAAATGAACTAGACATTCCCTTAATGTAAAAAAGAAAAAAGAAAAAAATATCATGATCACCTCAACCTATTGATATATGCTAATAAAACTAGATAATTGTCTGAAACAAAACGTAGAATTACTATAGTATATTTTCTCATGTAGTACTGGAGTATTTCAGACAAACTCCAAAATCAAGTTGCCCATAAACCTGTAACAAATGAAAAAGTAATTTCCACTTTCACCACTGTAAAACTAGAAAGCAAAAGGAAGCTTAGCCCAGAATAATCTCCCCAACTGACTTCAATTTTTGCATATTTTTTTAAAATGTAGATCAGAATACAGTGGTCCCTCGGTTAACGAACACAATTCATTCCACAGTCGTTCGTTAACCGAATATATTACTTCAATGGGATATTGGGCAATTGGTTCCAACTCACAGAAAAGTACATACAAAGTATAAACAAAATGCAGTACAGTACACTTACTTTGAGGTGTGTATGTAGAATGTTGCTGGTTGATGATGATGATGGGAATTAGAAGTGGGGGGTGGAGGAGGAGGGAGAAGAGAAGGAAGTGGGGGTGGAGGAGAAGGGAGAAGAGAAGGAAGTGGAGGTGGAGAAGGGAGAAGAGAAGGAAGAGGAGGTGGAGGAGAAGGGAGAAGAGAAGGAAGTGGGGGTGGAGGAGAAGGGAGAAGAGAAGGAAGAGGAGGTGGAGGAGAAGGGAGAAGAGAAGGAAGTGGGGGTGGAGGAGAAGGGAGAAGAGAAGCATTTTAATGCTTCTTGGAAGGCGAGTTACCTTCCATAATCATGTCAGGAACCTCTGGACTGACAGATTCTCTAACATGACAACCCTCTCTCCTTTTTGGAGAGGAACACTGAGGGGAAGCATCTTTCTCACGCTGTCTTTTAGAGAAGAAGCTGTCAAGTGTTAGTTGTGTGGCATTTCTCCTCCTGAACATCAGCATGTGCTTGAAGAAGGAGACCAGTTTTTCCTCCACGGCACACAACGTAAGTTCTGTTGTTTCCACATCAGGGTGCCTTGAAGCCAGTTTCCTAAACATCTCCCAGTGGTGAACAACATTTTCTAAGTCTGAAAAAGACATATGGTCATCACTTTCCTTTTCCTCCTCACCACTGTCTGTTTCCAGCACCTCAACCAGTTGTTTCAAATCTTCAGGAGAAAGTTCCTGCTTATGAGACATCACAAGCTCTTCAACATCCTCCTCTTCCACTTCGAGTCCCAATGACTGACCAATGGACACAATTTCCTTGTCCAACTCTGCTTCTTCCTGAAATCCCCCAAAATCATGGACTGCTGATGGCCACAGTGTTTTCCATGCAGAATTCAGGCATCGAGTAGAAACTGCTTGCCATGTTGACACGATCAATTTTACAGCCTCCAGGATGTTGTATTGCGTCTTCCAGAACTGTGCCAGTGACAGATCAGGATCAGTGGTAGTTGCCTGATGACACCTTCTAAACATCTTCTTCATATACAGCTTCTTAAAGTTGATGATTACATTTTGGTCCATTGGCTGCATAAATGATGTTGTGTTGGGAGGCAAAAACACAACTTTGACAAAGCCAAATTTAGCCTCCAAAGTTCTGACAAGTTCAGGGTTATGACAAGGGGCATTATCCAGAAGGAGAAGAGCCTTCAACGGAAGTTTATTGGTGGTGAGATAACTCTTCACAGTAGGGCAAAACACATCAATTGCCCATTCATTAAAGAGCTGGCTCGTTACCCATGCCTTACGGTTTGACTTCCAATAAACTCCAAGTTTTCCTCTTAGCACCTTTTGTTGCCTGAACACCCTGGGGTTCTCAGAGTGGTATACGAGCATCGGTTTCAGTCTGAAATCCCCTGAAACATTGGCACCAAGCAATAGAGTGAGACGGTCCTTCATGGGTGTATGCCCCGGTAAAGAAGCTTCATCTCTGGTGATGAATGTTCTTCTGGGCATTTTCTTCCAGAACAGCCCGGTTTCATCCACATTAAAAACTTGCTGTGGAAGATAACCCTTTTCATCCACCAGTTTCTTGAACTCTACTACAAATTTTTCAGGTCCTTTATCCACACTGGCAGCTTCACCATGCCTAACAACACTATAAATGCCAGTTCTTTTCTTAAACTCATCGAACCATCCCTTGCTGTCCCCAAACTCTTCAAACACAGTTTCAGAACTAGGTTGCTCTTCCTTCAAATGTTCATAAATGGAATCTCCTTTCATTTGTTTTTCTTTAATCCAAATAATAGGTGACCTCTCTGTTTCTGCACTTAATGATCTACCTTTAAACACTCTGGTAGATTTATCTCTCACTTTCACTTCTTGAAATTTTTCTTTCTGCGCAATAATTGTAGACACAGTTGATGCCGACATGCCATATTCTTTACTTAGTACATTGGTTCTAATGCCTTTTTCATGTTTCTTAATAAGTTCCTGCTTCACTTGAATTGAAATCAGCTTTCTAGATTTCATTGGACCCATGCTTGATGCAGTAATTTCACCAATAAAATTTTAAGTTCACTAGCTGTAATTAAAGATTATTTTATTTTAATAAACACTGCACTGCACTATATATTATCAATATGTTAACTAAATTTCAGAATGACCAATAATTTTAATGTAAAAACGTAAAAATACTCGTGTCCAAGAGATCAACAAACACGATGTTTCCTCCACTGTAAACAAAGTTAAACAGAAACGTTTTGATTGGTGAGTCTAGTGGCCGATGGGCCCACAAAAATCTAGTTCCCTGTACGTACTGCATATATTATCAATATGCTAACTAAATTTTAAAATTACTAATAATTTTAATATAAAAAAGCAAGAATATTAAAGGGCACAACCTTCTTGATATTTACTTGACTGGAAACAAATGTAAACATAGTACAGATTACTGATTGGCAGACTAGCCTATCAGCCGATGCGCACAACAAAACGTGTTTGTCGTAAGGATTTTGTTAACCGAAGTTTTCTTCGTTAATCGAACCGAAAATTCTTATGGGAGCTAATTCGTTAACCGAAATTTTGTTAATTGAACCATTCATTAACCGAGGGACCACTTTACCTGTAACAGTAATAATGAAGCTCTTCCTTACAGCTTTACTACTCACCATTTTTTTGACAGATAACTAAACATTTTCACATTCTAAACACAGTTTGCAGACATTTCAAGAAAATTAAAATTTATAAAATTGGGATAGGTTTTAACCTTAGTTATTACCTTAGGGATTACAGTAAAGATTCGGAAAAGGACAACCACGGAACTCTAAACAGATTTGGATATAAGGAGAAAATTTCTTCAGTTTATCAAGAACATCTCCAAAAATGGTGGAGGAAATAAATCTTTTCCAAACAAATTGATCATCAAGAGCCTAACCTAATGACTCTCAAACACTGTATTAATATATTGTACAGAAAATATAGGAACTGATCTTAACCTCCTATCCAGGGGGGTGGGAGCCCCCTGGATCCCCCAGTGTGTAAGCCTAACTTAATCCAACAAGACAAAAGAACAAACATGAAAAAAAAGTATAAAATTCCGATGTAAACACTACAGAGTAAAGTACAGGCATCCCCGCGTTATGGCATCTCAGGTTACAGAATTTCACCCTTATGTAATTTTGAAATTATGACCGTGGTTGTCCTTTACTGAATAAAATCATCTGACTTTAGCCAATATAAAATATACGGTACATCTAAATGCAGCACTAATCCTTAACCCCTAGGCTTCAGTTCACATCATATGACGTGTGCTTACAGGGCTTCGGTTTACGTCATTTGACGTTTGAATCGCCACACAGGCCTGGCAAGATTATGTTGCCCAGTAACTATTTATCTTTTACATGCTCACACATGGAAGCCTCTTAGTTTTCATTCGCTGTTTTTATGATGTAGGATCTCGCCCTTTGCCTTCACACATGTTTCTACCCCCAAGCACAAGTGTAGTAGGGAACTCTTGACTATCAGTAGATTTGTGATCAATTAATGGAGGCAGTAATAATAAGTGGTGATGATGTAATAAAACAAGTACCTCATACTGCCAGCAAATCAAGTGTTGTTTACCCAATACATACCAACCTCACCACACTGACTCACACACACTCCACTTGACTCTTCCTAGTAGTTGTGATGCCAACCTGGGGTAAGGACATGTACAGTAGTTCTTTAGCTCATGCATGACCAGTTTGTAAAATTAGAATTGTTTTTTAAATGTTTATTTTTAACTTTTCCAAATATAACCGTAGCCCAGTGGTTAATTGAGATAGGTTTCAACCTTTTCAGTGGTAGGGGTTTTCTCAGATGAATAAAATTGTCTGGCATAACCAAAATTAAATACCCAAGTACGACATTATTCATCAAAGGGTTAAGGAAATATAATTATGCATGTACCGGTAAATAGCAGTGTCGAGTCAACTGTTGGTATCATGAAAGGCAACATGAACCACACTAAACTAACTAAATTACCCGGTTATTTTTAACTGGTTGTTACTTTTATTTCAGTCATCTTTTATAAAGACAGTGCAGTAATTAAAGCAATTTTATCCCACTTGGAAAATTCCCATCTGGGAATTTTCGTCTGATTTATATGATTTAACCTAATCAGACCTCATCATTTAAGTGTGATAGTAGAAACCGCATAAAACAGATGATCGTCCAGATGAGAACAGTCCTAGTTGGATGATACCATTATAGCTGCTATAATTGTACTACAGTATATGAAAACTGGAAGTTCAAATTTGTATTTTTTTATGTACACCACCAATGTGTAATTTTTTTAACTTTGTAAGAAATAATTGGGAACACTAAACATTGAAGCCAAGCAAGAAAGCTTCAGAATTACTTAAACATCTATCTTAAAGTAAATAAAATAATATAAAGTTGTAATTATTGACAACATACCCACTGCTGATTTTTCAAAGAAAATGAATTTAAAAACTGCAATTTCACTGTGGTGTGCAGTGGACACTATTGCAGTTTGAGTAAATGTGTTAAAAAATAGTTACTGTATTTCTAAATTAAATCTAACCTAACCTTAGTTGATAAGAAACACAAGCGGCCGAAGCATTGCAGAAGATAGCACCATCCTACCCAAAGAAACCACACTGCAAAATACTGAGAATGGAAGGGGGTCGGAGTCACTACCAAGAGCAAAGACGTTACCGACAACAAATTTTGGCTTGAATGTCATGTACACTAATACTGATACGTTTCTTGATAAGAGAGAGAAGTTTGAAACACAAGAACAAGAGAATCGACCTGGAGGAATGTGAGTTCAGTATTGACGGATATGACTCATTTACGAACCTATATCAAAAAAGTTGCAAGAGGGGTGTGGTTATCTATGCTAGGCAAGACCTTAGAGCCAGCCAGGTGAGGGTACAGGAAGAGGATGTTTTTGAAGAATCCAAGTGGTGTAAAATTAAATTGAAGGGAGGAGACTTACTTATTGTCTGGTTTATCTACAGATCTCCAAACTGTGGCCCACTAAACCAAAGGAACTTAAGAGCCTTAATAGACAATGCAACGATGCTCTACCCTAGCCACCTCCTTATCATGGGGGACTTTAACTATGGCGACCGACTGGAGAAATGAGTCCACGCCAAATGACTTAAATAACCCCGCTACTCTTTTTGTAGAAACTTGGAGATAATTTTCTGTTCCTACAAATGTCAAGGACCCAACGCATTACAGAGGGGAGCAAACACCCAAGCCACTGGACCTCATCATAACAAACGAGGAGGGTATGGTGGCCAAGCTGGAACATCTTGCCCCAGTTGGCACCAGCCACCAAGTAATGTTGTCATTCAGATTTAACTGTTAATTAGTTCACGACAAAACCAGGCCTCAGTGAAAATATTACAAGGAAATTTACGACGGGATGAAGGAGATGAAGGGTATCCACTGGCCTGACTCACAAAGGTATAAGCACGCAGGCACTACGCTGAATATCACAGCCAGTAGAGTGACCCATTTGATCAAGAAATATATACCCAAGATCAAACCCATTGCCCCTAGGAATACAAGGAGACCCCCTCCCCTACACACGAACCATGCAGCGGTCGACAAAGTTAAGAAGAAAACCCAGAAATTCAAGAGTCGGTTAGGTCAAGCAATGAGCAGGACAGAAGGATGTATGCAAGAGCCAGGAACCAAGTAAAGGCAGTGAAGGGCTGAAAAGGAGTTCCAGAGGATGGTTGCAAGTGAGGTCAAGTCAAACCCAAAGGCGTTTACCGCTATGCAAAGTCGAAATTAAAAATGCGAGTAGGAGTATCGGACCTGAGGTTTGAAGATGGTAGTTACGCAGGTTCTGACCAGGACAAAGCCGAAGCAATGAACAGTTTCTTTTCCTTGGTGTTCACCAGAAAGGATGCGAACAATCTTCCTGCATTTGAGGACAGACAGTCTGACACAGCACTGACCCAAATTGTGTTCACAAAAGAGGGTATTAGAAATAAACTGTCAAAGCTAAAAGTTCATAAGAGTCCTGGCCCTGACATGGTGCATCCAAGCTTGCTGAGCCCCTGAAGATCCTTTTCTGTAAATGCCTGGATGAGCAAAAGGTCCCCAGTGATTGGAAAATGTGCTTATGTGAGTCCCATCTTCAAGAAAGGCAATCGTCACTTCACGAATAACTATAGATCGGTGAGCCTGACCAGCATAGTATGTAAAGTACTTGAGAGCATTATAAGAGATGCCATGATGGAACATCTACTACGAAATAACCTGAAAAAGGATTGCCAACACGGTTTTATGCCGGGGCGCTCCTGCTTAACACAATTACTCAAGGTGCTGGATGTGTGGATCCAAATTCTGGAACAGGGTGGTAATATCGACAATATATACCTAGATTTTGCCTAGATTATACCTAGATTTTACTTAACTTCTTAGCCGGGAGGCAGAGCACCCCCAGACCCCCCCAGCATAATAAACAAAAAAATTAATTACTATGATATGGTGTTATTTTAAGTTTTTTGTGGAGGAGAGAGAAGTCACTTGAACCGAGCAGCCCGTAAATGTACACTGAGTCAAGGACAAAATTGAGCTTCAATAGGGCCACCTTAAAGATTTATCGCTGCGAAAGACAAAGTAATGCCACAAGTGTGAGCCTAGGGACCTAAATATCTACCAAATGAAGCTTTTGCCCGAGGAATGAATATCACATCCGAATTCAGTGATAAAAATATACCTGTAGTAAGAAAAGAACCCTCAATACAAATTAAGCTAGGATTCCATTCACATGTTTGCAGTAATTTTGCGTTTTCAATTGCGACAGGGAGCGATTGGTATGTACTGCAAATGCATCATGCTAACGCAACCTAGCCAATGAAAACAACCGTGTACATTTCAATGTGATCTATTTTTGGAGCTAAAGCTAACGCAACCGTTCACGTGTGACTGGAATCCTTGCTTTATGCTGTGATGTGGTATGTCATCAAGGTAATTACTAATGAGTAATGACTGACCCACAGCCGATTTTTCATAGAAACGATTTTTAAAAATGACGCAATTTCACCGAGTTTTATAGTGGACACTATTGCAGTTTGGACAATTGTGTTAAAAAGTGGTTATCTCTAAATTTAACCTAACCTAACCTTAGTTGATAAGAAAAACAAGAAGTAGAAGCGTTGTTAAAAGACCTCACCAACCTAACCAAAGAAACCCACCTAACCTTACCTAACTTCCAAGCCATGGGCTCCGCTTTCTGGGCCCCGGCATATCAAACAGAAAGAACTTACTATGATATGGTGTAATTTTATGTTTTTTGTGGATGTGACAGCAGCCGCCCAGGTAAAGATTCGTTTTAGGTTGAGCATGGAATTTCATATTTCTTATACAGGGAGAAAAATATTCTAAACATTTACATTATTTGTGTTTTCAATGTTTACTATGTGTATGTAGTTTTCGGTGTTCGGATGAGGAGGGACTCCTTGTAATAGGTTAGGTGAGGTTTTCAACGGCATGTTTGGTGTTCTTTTTAGTGTTTTACACCCTCATTTTCCCTCTGCTTCAAAGCACTGCCCACTTTGAACAACCAATATTATTGGTAATTGGGGAGGTTTTATACTGTAGTTTAAAATACTCAAAAAAATATAAATTTGAGCAGGAAACGCTAGTGAAGAGTTATGTGTACCGCCGGCAAGGCCGTGCCCACCGTTTCTCTGTGGATGTTGGTCACACTAGAATAACCCGTTACAGCTACTCCCCGACTTACGATGGGGTTAGGGACCCAAATCCAGGTCGTAAGTCGAAATGGTCGTAAGTTGAAAATGCTTAAATATTACATAGAAAATCTAAAATGGGTGTCTCTTTTTCTTTCCAGCACCACAAAACCCTCACTTTTAAGCTTCCCAGCCATTTTACAGTGAATTACAAAAAAAATTTTTGTCAGTACACAGTGCAGTCACTGACGATGGGACTCGAAAATACATAATTTGACAAAATTTTGGTACGAGTGAGGCAGGTCATAAGTGCGGGTGGTCGTAAATCGAGTAGGTCGTAAGTCGGGGAGGAGCTGTATAGTACATCCTTCTTTCCTCACACAGCCAAACTGTGGAATGATCTGCCTTCTTCTGTGTTTCCATACTCATACAATCTGTCTCACTTCAAAAAGCAGGTTTTCCGTCATCTTCGTGGTGCAGATTAATAGTCTCTTTCTCTTCTATTTTTAATTTCCTTTTATTCTTATTTTTTCGCCCCCAAGGCCCCATTGTGGGTTGATGACCTGTGCCTGGGTGGGCTATTCCCCCCCCCCCCAAAAAAAAAATAAATAAAAAATAAATAAAAATTGAAAGGGTTAACAATCTGGAAGATTGTTCCAAGAGTTCACAATTCTCACTTCATTAGGAGGATTTCACAGCGGCTCCCCCGTCTCAGTCACAGTAAGTTAGCTCCTACTGCAGGTGTTAAATTATGCTCGGTTAGTTTAGTTTAAGGTTAGGTTAGGTTAGGTTAGGTTAGGTTAGGTTAGGTTAGGTTAGGTAAGGTAAGGTAAGGTAAGGTAAGGTAAGGTTAGGTTAGGTACATGCAGTCGATCTATTAACTCAGATTAAATTAAGTTTTCCAATTTTTTGTGACTTTGTGACACCAAATACTAGTCGAGAAGTGATTGGCTGTCCGATTTATTTATGTAGGACCATTATTTGACTTCATTGCGGAAACATTTGGGTAATTAGTCGGACCCCTGTAAACTGTCCACTCATTACACTTGCTCCGTCTTAAGTCTGTCCAACCTATTTGTCTTGAATTTGAAATTCTTGAACCGTGTTAACAACGTGATTGAACAGACCATCACAAGTTCTATCAGCACTTACATCTGAAAATCCAACGAATCTTTTATGTATTTTGCCTTTATGAACAAAACACAAAACTGTTGAGAGCTGCTATTTTGACATCACATCTGAAGTTTCATCAAGGATAATAGCAACAAATGTTGCTGAACTTGTCTCTCTCTTTATATGACCATTAACAACATTAGATACAGCTTGGATGATGTCATTTAGCACAGTTGGAGAAGGACCTTGAAACACGGTTGATGTATTTAAATGATTATCTAAAAGAGAATCATAATTTCGAAGTACATTCAGTAATTCTATATAATTACCTCTATTTACTGAATAACTAGACTAGTTATGACCTGGTAGAGGAAGCTCTTGTTTTGCATCAATAATTCGTCTCAAAATCTCTATTCTTTGTTACTTGTTCATTGTGTCGCCTTACTTCTGTTTTCCGTTGGTAGTCAATTGATGTGTCAATTCTTTGGTTCCCAAACATATTAAGATAAAAAAATACTGAACATGTAATTGATATCTTTCATGTGCTGTAGTTAAATGGTTGAGATCATAAAACCCATGTTTATTCCACACACGAGAACAGTAAACAGGGCCAACAGAAAAGTTTGGATAGAACTTTACAACCAGTCATCCATTCCACTGTTTCATACTGTGAAACTTGAACAAATCTTGTATATTCACTTTTTTTGTCTTTGTGTGTAGAACGCAAATGTGTTAGAGGAGGATGACGAGGTTTATCTTCTTCCACAACTTATCCTCTTAGGGTCGGGTTGAAAAACGTGCACTCAATATATCTCCAACAGTATTACCTCTTGTTAAAATGATGTTAAAGTATCTAAATTATAATACAGAGTGAGTTTTAAAGACAGTGTTGAGGGGACGGTCAGCCTCACCCTCACCTCCCTGGTATAAATAAATACTATAATAATGTCGGTGTTGTTGTGTGTCTCTTACAATACATCAACCATACATAAATTATTAATATTTTTAAGAGTATGTTATTTTATATTTATTAACATTACTAATTCTCTGTAGTTTTAGAGTTAATTAATGATGTAATGTGATAAGTTTTAATTCGGCGATAAAGTTACATATTAGGTTTGTTTTTGTTCTATTTACAGTTTATATAGAAAATATGTTACAAAATTATCTTATTTTAATAGAGAATTGTTTTATATTTTACCATGAATTATTAATACACGTTTATTGTGATTGTAATTTGTTAAGTATAGTGAGTTTAATTGTAAAAAGAGTTATGGTGTATGTGTTGGGCAGTAGCTACAACATAAGACGTAAATATCAGTATAAAGTTTATTCACATGGCGTCAGTCTGTAGGAGTTATTGAATCATTATTACTAACATTGATTATTCCAGTTTAAATACATTATCAAGTGAGTAGCACAGCAATGGACTCTGGTATTGACTCAACAGACAGTAGTAACGGGAGCCTGGAGGAGGGTGGGGGTGTGGTGATGGAGGGGGCGGTCTCTGGCTCTGCTGCACACAATGATCTTCCTCCTGCTCCTACAGCTCTCAGGACTCTCGCTGCTGCAGCTGCTGCCACTAACCCCGTGCCTTCACCTTTAAAGAAACTAGCAGCCACTGCCCTTAATGATAATCCGACAGTGTTAGAGAATCGAGAAAACAATAATGAGTGTGAAGTATCAGTTGATGCTGTAGACGCCCCAGCAAGTACAGCACCACTTTCTAAAATGGTATGTCAGACTTTTGTTTGTATTGTTACTACCCTCCTCCTTTCACCACTTACTCAACCTTCACCGATGGTTACCAGCGGCCAGGGTCGTATGTACAGAAGCAGTAGATATCTCGGCGCGCCCGAAAGTTATAAACTACTGAAACATTTAGATCTCCCTATTCTGAGCATTTTGAACCTCACATATACCTGGTGGAAATGGATAATAGCGACATAGTTGAATTTAATTGATGTTATGTACTTTTCAGTCTTCGTCTGTGAGGAGATGGTATCGGCGTGAAACCGAGTTCATTATGCATCATGCATGCACAATATTGACCAATCACATTTGAATTTTTCAAAAGAGGCAGCCTGGGTATGGATTTGAAATTCAATGACCAGTCTGACAATGGCCGTGGTCGAGGTTGGTTGTCAATCGTGCTCCTAAAATTATTTTAAGTTTATTGCTGAGTTTTGCGAGAAAGACATTCATTCTATACCAATTCTTGTGTATCCCTGGTCCTTCCACTTCTAACTAAGGTACTATTGCACTTTCGGACATGGCACGCCCCAAGGTTTTAAACTAATGAAACATTTAGGTTAGGTTAGTTTAAGCTAGGCCTACTGGGGGTCCAGGGGCAGAGCTCCCTGCTAGGGGTTAGGTTAGGTTAGATGACTCATTTTCTCCCCCACCCATAAACCCCTATTTCCCAAGCACTCCACCATTATTGTTGGGGGGGGCAAAAATGAGCAATTTCTGACAAAAATGAAGGTCAGATTCTCTTAAAACACACCAAAATACACTGGAAAAACATATTGGTTAACCTCTAGGGACTCATAAGAAAATAAGGAGTCTGCAATAGGCCGGTTGGCCTGTACATCACAGCTCCTGTCGAGAGTTACTACCACTGTCTATCATCTATGAATCTCTCCAGCCTCCTTTTAAAACTTTCCAGCATTCCAGCACTTACTACAAAGTTGCTAAGCTTGTTCCACTCCTCTACCACCCTATTTGTGAACCAGTTCTTCCTATCTCCCTCCTAAACCTAAACTTATCCAACTTAAATCCGTTGCTACGAGTCCTATCTTGCTCGGATATTATAAGAACTTTATCTATATCCCCTTTATTGATTCCTTTCACCCACTTAAATACTTCTATCATATCTCCCCGCACTCTTCGTCTTTCTAGGGAATGCAAGTTTAGTTTCTTTAACCTATCTTGATATGGAAGGTTTCTATGTCCCAGAATCATTTTCATCATTCTTCACTACACCAACTCCAGTGAATTGATATCCATTCTATGTTAAGGGCACCAGAACTGAACCGCATAATCGAGGTGCGGCCTGACTAGCACAAGATATAGTTGCAATAAGACCTCTGCACTCTTATTACTTACACTTCTAGATATAAAACCTAATACTCTGTTTGCCTTGTTTCGAACATTAACGCACTGTTTTCTAGGCCGTAGGTCCGGGCTTACAAGTACCCCTAAGTTTCTTTCACAAGTCGACTTCTCTAGGTTGATGTTGTTAAGGCTGTACACATTGACAGTATTTGTTCTTCCAATATTAAGTACGCTGCACTTGCTGGTGTTGAATTTCATTTGCCATTTTTCTGACCACTCCTGCAGTTTATTTAAATCCTCCTGTAATGCATTTGCATCCTGTCCTAAAGTAGAAATTTACTGATATCTCAATTGTTGTCGAATTACCATTGTTTGTCCCGCCAGTCACCGGTAACTTCCCGACGATGGGTATCAGTGTACAGACAAACATCAGGCAGGTAGATTTCCACTAGGTCACAGAAACACACTTGTGCACTGTATTCTTCTTTAATAATCAGTAATTCTTCACAACACTATCAACAGGGTAATGTCTTCACAGCTTAACTCTGCACTTCGAATATACAGTGTACAGTACTGTAGTCAGCACACTTTATATTAATCACAACAATTCCACAGTACTTGCACAGCAATTGTCTTCAGTTGTTCTTCTAGGCTTATTCTTTACACTATGAACAGAAGCAATCAACTGACTCAAGGCCGCTCACTGCCACTTTTATGTCTCGTGAGATGCATCTCAAACAGCCTAGCACCACCCAGAGATGCCTGCGTGGTGCTAGAATGCTCTACTCCGATCAAGCCTTACTGTGGGAATTAATATCCACCTTTATCCTCCAGGTCCTTGAAGCACTGTAGTAACGATCTTGTGTGTTATCAGACTTGGAATAACAATCCAAAGTGGCATATGTAAATAATTTGCTAATTAATTAATGATTTAATTAACTACCGTAGTTAGGTTAGGGAAATAATTATGCGAAGTGTACAAAAATTAGTGGTAAAAACACTATTTGGCATCCACAAGACTGATTACTTCGCGGGAAATAGAGCGGTATTCCTCTTTCTCTATGGATCACGTTAATATCGTTTAATTTACACGATATCGGTGGCGGTAGTTAACTAAAAATGTAATTATGTATTTCTGCTAAGAAAGAGTATTATAAAGGTGGAGAATCACTAAAAATTGCAAAAACACTATGAGGTTAGGTAAATATAATCTTGAGGGCAAGTAAAATACCCAACAGCTCTGCCGCAAAAATAGATGCCATAGTGGGGAGGTTACCGTCCTGGCAGAATACGGGAAAGACCACCCCAAAACCCACCCCTGCATCTGACTTAGAGCCGTCGGTGTATCCAGGGATGGTCCTTCTGTGAGAGGAGGCATGCTCTAAAAAAAGAGAATGGACAAAGCAGGGAGGGAGTAAGTCCTTCCCTTTGTTAAAATACTGACAAACTTGAACTTCAGGGAGAATCCACAAAGCGGTTGGCATGGGGCATCTCTGAACAGGAGGAAAACAAAGATTTTTAAATGAAGCCTTTCATCTAGGCCTTTGCCACCTAGGAAATTTGTGTGACTGGACTTTCACAAATAGTAATTGAGTAACCATCCTATGGAATCTATAGCATGGTTACTCAATTAATAATGGTTTTAGTGGATACAGTTCCATTATCTATAATGGACCTGTATCCACCACATCTATTAGCGGCCATCTTTCCGCTTCAGATGGTTTTATCATACAAAAGTGCCACACCTTGAGTTCTGTTAAAAGGCAAGAGTGTGTGACTTAAAGTCCATTGACCCACCCACCCCTGTTTCCCCACGTCCCTACCCAAGAAAAGTGACCTCATTAATTCCCTGACTTATCAACACATCAATTTCTATTCTCTTGTTCTAAAAAATATTATTTGTGACCATTGTAAAGGCCCAGGTGACCCCATGAGCTCTCTGCAACCCTTTATGAAGGAACTTGTGACCCCGAGTTTGGGAACCACTGCCGTAAATGGTAGTCAGATTCTTTATTAGTGGTATTGGAATCGGTAAAAATACTTATCTAGTACGGGAGCTACTGTAGGAGCTATGAAAGAATAATTTGAACTGATGACAATAACATTTTAATGCCTACCCATAATGGTTGCTATAGAATTTAGTAATTTCTGACAAACGATGCAAACTACTGTATGGTAACTAAATCATACCAAATTTTTATAGGTTGGGTTAGGACTGGTTGGTTTGTGTCTTATATACAATAGTTAGAAGTAACTTAATGCTAGAGTACTACAGTAGCACATTTCCTCTATGGCAGGGTAGCCTTTCAACCCCTAATCCCCTTGAAGATTATCTAGAGGTCTGGACATGTACTGTATTGTGCATAAACTAACGGTTCTGCACATACGGTTGGCTCTTTCATAAAAAAGTGTAAATGATTCTTAGTTAAACAATGAGAAACATGTTTATACCTTGTTCATTTCCTTGGGAGATATTGTTACAGGGTATAAGAATACTCTCATATTCACAGCTGGTGGCACACAGAGCTGATGCATATACATCGCTGTTCATAGTCTTTCTTGTAAGTACACTTGGTCAGTTCTTGACAGCTCAGTGCTATTGGTGGAATGTCTGTCCAGGTTATTTACCTTTATTTTTCCAGCCCCAGTTAGCAGGACTTGGAATATCTGGTTGGGCTACTGCTGCCTGACCCCAGATCATTCCACCTTGATACTCTGCACACTTTACATGTTCCTTTAGGGCAGACCGTGTTGGTAGAATTGCATTACCTGTACAGTAAAGTTCTCTTTTTACCACAGCCCAAGTTGGATGTTCCAGAAGGAAGTCAGCTACAACTACACTTCCCTGTACCAGAGGATGGAAGCAGTGAGGAAGGAGGAGGCACGACCTTTGAGCTAGAACCTCCGCCTGGATTAACCTTCGCCAATGTATCACCGTCTATGTACCTCAGCCGTGGCTATGATGCATACTGTAAGTTGCTGTATCTATTGTGAGTAAGTGTGTGCTGTAGCTACTGTATTGACTTTTTTTTTCTACAAACTTATTTTCGATGGAAGATGGCTTGGAGTACCTATACTGTACACTGGTCCCTCGGTTAATGAACGGTTCGATTAACAAAATTTCGGTTAACGAATTAGCTCCCATAAGGATTTTCAGTTCGATTAACAAACAAAACTTTGATTAACAAAATCCTTGCTACAAACATGTTTAGTTGTGTGCATCATCTGATTGGCTAGTCTGCCAATACAGTAATTCGTTCTATGTTTACATTCGTTTCCAGTGAAGTAAATATCAAGAAAGTTGGTCTCTTGAATATTTCTGCATTTTTTATATTAAAATTATTGGTCATTCTGAAATTTAATTAACATATTGATAATATAGACAGTACAGGGAACAGTTTTTGTGCACCCATCAGCTGATTGAATCACCCACCAACGCTTCTCAGTTTAACTTAGTTTACAGTGGAGTGAACATTGATTTTGTTGGTCTCTTGAATATTTTTGCATTTTTTATATTAAAATTATTGATAATTCTGAAATTTAGTTCACATATTGATAATATACAGTGCAGAAATTATCATGAAACACGAAGAAGGCATTAGAACCAAAGCACTCTGTAAAGAATAAGGCATGTCATCATCGACTGCCTCTACAATCAGCTGTTTGATATGTAAACAAAGCTGCTGGTAATATAACATACACACCTCAAAGTAAGTTAAAATACAGTATTTTATTGGTTTTTATTTATTATTGTACAGTAAACTGTACAGTACAGAACTGTATTTAGTTTATATTTGATGTTTTGTAGTAATTTGTATGTACTTTTTCTGTGAGTTGTAACCATTACCCAATATCCCATTGAAATAATAGATTCAGTTAACAAAATTTTCGGTTAACGAACGACTGTGGAAGTTAACCGAGGGACCACTGTATAAGGAAAAAACACCTTATGCTGGTATCCATTGATTTATGATGCTTTTGCCTAATTACAATATAAATCTGAACAGGGATAAATTACTCCAGAAGGCAGCCTTCCTTCTAGCAATAGCAACAGGTATGAGCATCAGTGAACTGATTTCAATTTCCAATAATCCATCATTATTGGTATTTTCTGATGAGGATGTTACCCTTTTTCCTACGGAGATCCTAAGAAAAAATGAAAGGGAAGATTTCCAAGCTCAACCTATTAGGATAAAACGTCTAATGGATGAAACTAGGGTTCCTTACATATTGTGTCCAGTTAAAAATCTTCAGGAATGGTTAACCAGATTCCCTAATCGAGGCCCCTATGTTTTTTCATCAAGGGATGGTAAGAAATTGTCTTCTAGTCAAATGACAAAATCCTTATCTCAATTAGTGAATCAGGCAGACCCTGGCAAGAAATTTTTGGCACATGACACTAGGAAATATGCAGGGTCTGTGGCCTTTCTGTGGCATACGAGTCTCAGTCAGATCAAGGAATTGGGCTTTTGGAGATCTTCAAAGACAGCTATCTTCATCTATCTCTGAGAAATGCTTCAAATGTGGTGGTGCTGGGTTCCCCTCCCCCACCTAGTCAATCTCCACTACCAGGACCTTCTTCCTCATGAGAATAAAGTGAGTATTCTTTTTTAGTAAATTAACATTTTACCTTCTGGTAAATGTTCCTAATTTTGGAAAATTTCTAAACGGTTTATACATAATCTGGACCTAAGCTAGCGGAGCCTTGTATGCAAAGTCACCTCCCTAACCACCTCCTGCTAGTCGTCGCATTTTGAGGTTTGAACAAAAGGCCGTTTTTTTTTCTAAAAACTAGTTTTTGTGATATAGCCCAGAATGCAACGCCGATAACCCATCCATCCCCACCCCTCGAGAGTTGACTTTTGTTTACTGCTCACTCTAAGGCAGGAGATGACGGTGGTAGTGTGTATGATGGAGGGTGAGGGAGGGGGTTTGAGAATTGTAATTAAATGCCAGGTAGCGACGTGTCCTCCTAATATTACTTATTAAGTAATTATTAGATGTTTTAATTGCCTGTATGTTGGCCTGGCGAGTTATGTTAGGCATTAACATACCTAGGAAATAATGCTAGGCATCGCATTCTGGGTTATATCACAAAAACTGGTTTTTAGAAAAAAATGGCTTTATTATACGTACATCCAAAAAGATAAATAAACTGATTAATTTTGTATTGTACTCACTGATGGGCAGAGGTGGAGCGAGTGTGTGGTGGGTAGTGGAGAGGAGCAAGGCTAATGGTCTTTCATTCTTCTTCACAACACTAGCATGACTAGCACTTGATGGTCGCTTGGAAGCTATTTCAAATGGTTACAGTACAGTGGGGTATGCTATAACGAACGGATCCTACTACGAATATTCCGATAACGAACGGTTTTACCTATAAAATTGAGAATGCTATAACGAACGAAACTCCTACAACGAACATTATTTAAAAAAAATTTTTTTTTTTACTATATTGTTTTTTTATTACAAGTATTAATGATATTCTTTATTTCAGGGGTTTAGATGCATATTTATGCACTTTTTTAAAATTTTTACAATTTTATATTATATTTTTCAGTGTTAAGTGGTTGTATTTGGGGGCCTGGAACGGATTAATCCTATAACGAACGAATGCTATAACGAACAAGGTTCTAGAACCAATTAGATTCGTTATAGCATACCCCACTGTACAGTATTTAGAGCAAAAATGCTTAAACACGTACGAACGCTGTGGAAGCCTAACAAAGACTGGGGACGCTGTGATGCTCCTTGAGAGAGCGCAGTGCGCCAAGATGAGAGAGGGTGACGAACCGTGCAAAGTAGTCCGTGACAATGTTATAACGAATCGGTCGGGACTTTGTTGGAATCATGGGTATCTGAAGAGTAGCGACATTATAACGAAACAATGTTGTCGTGGACAGTGTTAAACAAGGACTTACTGTATTGCGCTGTTCAGGTGCTTATGTCTCCCTCAGCCTCTTCATAAGTTTTCATAAATTGAATATTTTAATTGCGAGTACAGCACTGTACTGTACAGTGAATATAATTAATGTGTAAAGTGCTGTACTATGGTAGAATTTATAAGAAAGTCATTGTTTTTCCTAAAGAAGATTTTTAAATAGTTTTCAGCATCAACTTATTGTCTTTTTTGTAGGAATATATTTCTACTGTATATAATGGAAGTCAGTTTTTATTTACAGAATTTGGGTTAACCAACAGTTCTTCTGGAATGAAAACCTTTAATAAATTGAGAGATGCTTGTATAGAGCACACTGCTTTGTAAGAAATACTTGATTATTGTAAAGTTTTAAATTCTAAATACTGTACTTATATAAGAAATATTATCTACCACACAGTTCTGAGTACACTATTACTAAGCCACTTTTCAATATTGCATACAAAAACAGCACAAGGTTACTCCTACTCCGTGGTGCCGTATGAAAACAACGCCCTTCAGAAGAAGCTACGGACGATACGACTGAGAATGAGACAACAGAATTATCAAATCTTGTCCCCTAAAGCAAGTAAGATGTTGAAGATATTGTTTTCTTAATAGTATATGAAATTATCATTCTCACTTAAAATCATGTACCCTGTATACCCAGTGTTAGATGCAGGGTATTATATCTGCCAAACTGATTCAAAGGGTTTATTTAACAGACTCACAATATTGAAAAGAATCCAGTATGCATAGTTATTAAGAATCAATCTGTTTTCCATTAAAATCAAACTGGTATCACTCAAACGCCGGTACAGTACTGTATTCTTAACCCATTCATTGTTACGTCCAGAAAAGCATGAGTGACCCCCCCTCCCCCGTTACCAAAAACTAGAAATTTTTGTAAATGCTTAAATGTCTACGTAGTTGGTTTGGGTGGTGGGTGGTTAAACAATATGAAACGGTATACTTATAATTGAAATGGCATGAACTTGATGACTCTTTGGAATAATATAATACTGTACTGTACTGTAGTTATCACTGAACAATACTTGACAGTGATAGTTTGCATACAGATTTGGCTGCAAGTCGTATGGATACACGATCATGTGCTTGGTAAGTGAGGCAGAGTGAAGCTTGTTTATCTTATAAATGTTAGTTTTCCTTATACAGTGCTGTAATATAACTTATTATGCACCTTTATATGAATATTTACACTGTATGCAACATGTTCAGCACACTTTAGTACAGTACTTCTGCAACTAGTGGTATCTGGAAAAGCTGAGGTTTAGGCACAAGGCAATGCCACAACCCTCATACATACAGTATATATACCTTGTATCAAGCAATTTTTTGCCTGTAACTGACTGTGTACAAATATGGCATTCTTTCTGGGTAAATTTCTTTCCACAAGTGGGTGGAATAGACAGGGGGAAGTGGAGGGCAGTGAGGTATATTGGTGTGTTGCGGGCCATGTGGCAGCCTACACCTGCTGTACCTGGTGCCGTCTGCAGCTCCAGAAACTGATGTACTAGCTCCTTGGTGAATTGATGGCTTTACTTAATAATAATAATAATAATTAATGATTTATTGAAAGAGCATAGCAGCCAGAAGGCTGAAAATATACAGTTACATAATTTGGGAATGGGTTTCGATTTACAAATAATATACAAGTAACATAAGTGATACAAATAAGATATATAATAACTAGGTGGGGAAAAGCTCAAACTACAGTGCTACCTACATATTATGCAAAAGAAAGAAGTAAAAGAAATACCTATAATAAAGTAAAAAACATAAAGGGAATAAACATTTCTTTGTGTGTGAGAGCGGAAGGGGGAGTGTTGCTTAGGGTCACAAGAGGTGGCCAGGCTGCATTACTGTGGTGATGCTTGAGGGAAGCCATGTGTGAAGCAGCCAGTGTCTGCAAATGGCACCGCTGGTGGCGATGTTAAACTTTGATTAACTTTTTTTTAATAGTTTTAACGGCATATTTTCATCTAGTTAGTATTTTATTAATGTTTTTAATGTGTTAGGTAGTAAATTACAGTACAGTAGTTAGGTAGTGTTTTTGTTGTGGTTCGGGAAATGATTTCATGTTTTGGTGTATGATATTGGGGTTTTCTTGTCATTAGGAAACTAAACCCTATTTTTCCCAAATGTTCTTTTATTTGCAATACAAAAATTCACTTAACAAATGGTTTTCCAGGAATCTGACCCACTTGTATAGTGAGGGATACCTGTATTAGATATCCAAGTACTGTATTCCTATTTGAATCCTTGGGCAAAGCCTTCATATTTGTAAGATAATGTGATGAATAATAATTGTTTTATTGATAGAAAAACCATACACATGGGTGCTGAATTTATTTTGGATGAACAGAGGAAGAGAGAATTTTGGGGATGTCCAATCGGCTTATTAAATCCGTGACCCGAGAAGCTATATATCATACACTGAAATTAAATAATTAAATAGACTGTTAGTAAATAACGTGCAACTCTCGAGGTTATCGCCACGGTGAGTAGGCTACTGGTGACGCATTCGTGTCGTGTGAGATGTGTTGTAAATGTAGTTGGGATATTGTCGGAGCAAGCAAGCTCCACAGCATCCACCTTGCTTCTGGTGCCTAGGGATATCAGGGACTGCCGTGCCACTAAGAGACTGCTTTGACCCGCCTCTGTATTACCAAAATTCTACTCACCAATGGCGGTAAAGTCTAAAACATAAGGTTTTTACTCAGATGATGAAGTCATCAGTTTCAACTCTGGCTGAAGCTGTAGCTTTCCATAAAGATGTTATAGCTGTTGCTGAAACTGTTACTGAACCTGAAGTTGTTGCTAAAGCTGCTTATGATGCTGAATTTGATGGTGTAGCTGAAGTTGATGGTTTAGGCCTTCAAATATTAAAGCTGTCTAAAGAACCTTGCACAGCTGCTTTCTCTTCTCATAATACATCTTTATGTAGAGGTCATATGTGTTTTTCACGTCCCTGTTAATTTTAATGCTTTGTTCTGTTAATGGATCCACTTCAGAAAATATGTTCATTGTTTGTTCCATATAATATCCACAGACCTCTCACCTTTTTCATATCGTTTTAACACATCAGTTTCTTGGCTGAGCTCATACACTTTCTTTTAGCTTTTGAACCAGCACTGGCATCACTTGCTCTCTTGCTCATGTTAAATAGGGATGCAAAAGTGTTGTAAGAAACCCGAGAAAATTTTTCTCCTTTTCCTGTTCAGATGCGTGAAAACAAAAGGCCCGCCAAGCTGCGATTGTTTATACAGTACTAGTGATGCTGGCGGCACCACTCCAAGCCTGGCAGCCTCCGTGCGCAAGACGTGTTTTTTTTTATTATTATACATATCGGGATTTAGTTATTCTTTATATGAAAATGTAATTTTATTTTATTTTTTATTAAATTTTCATCGTAAATACGAAGAAAATAATGGTGTAAATTGAATTGGGTCCTAAATTAACCAGTGTCTTAAATATGAATCGTTGTAATCGGAGGCTTTCCTGTAATGGTTGGCCCACACTGTGTCATTTCAAAACTGTACACTAGTGTACAATAAAATCTTTCATGTGTGTGTACAGTAATAATTATTCTGTACCTGTATTCATTAAATAAAGGTTTTACTCTACACTATACCCTCGTAAATTCAACAAAGGGGGGGGGGGGCTGGGTCACTCAAATTACACAAAAAATTTGGTGCATAAGAGATGGTGAGTGCTGGCAGCATTTTAAGGGAGAGCAGAAACAGTCAGCTGTTACCGCTCTGTAAACAAAAGACTTAAGAATTTACTGTACTATGGCACAATAGCTCATCTGGGATTGAATGTGGGATTTTTTTGGGGAGAATGAATTATTTTTTGATAATGTTTTAACCCTACACTGAATGAACCCAAATAATATGGGAATTATGGTGAAATAACATGCTGCTGTTATAAAGGTATATTGCAGGCTGCTGAGTGAGTTGTCCTCCCTCTCTCCCTTCATCCTCTGCAACCCCTCACCTATGCACCCAAACGTAGTTTTGTATCTTAATACAGTACAGTATACTGTAATTCATATGTTATTCCAATAATTCATGCAGCTTAATCTATTTCATAATATTGTATACAGTACAGTAGTACATATTTCTATAATAATTAACTTTTTGGAACTACTGTACAGTACATGGTTAATTCAGATTCATAACTAGTTCAAATTGTTTAATTCATTAAAAAAAAAACATACAAAATAAGTCAAAATATGAATTATAGTGATCTGAACTAATGATGGTATGGTGTGCTATTTTGTTTTATTTATTTATTTATTTATTTTGCTAAAGAAAATAATTTAGAACCTAATAGGTTTTATTTAATCTGTATATTTTCCAGGTTTGATTTATAAAACTTTTAAGGAACTAAACTTTATCCATTTCCAGTTGTGAGCTTTTAGCAAGTTTGAGGCTTTAATAGTTAAAAAGATTGTATTTATGAGTGTCCACCACAGTCAGAAAGTTGTTACAGTATAGTTCTTCTTGAACATGTGAAGATATTAGTATAGTAGGTTGTCTTCATTGACTCGGTTAAACAATACTTTAGTTTTTACTGCTGATTGGATTTCTGGATCAACTTTTAGATATTAAATGATAATCTTGCCTAACATTAATGGCTTCTCAAATTTTTCAGAAGAGAGAAAGCTTCGCATAGCGGTCAGCTTAAATAATGTACAAACTGTTGAACAGCTTCTAAGAGAAGGCATTAATCCAAAAGTCACTGATGATAAGGAGAGATCCCCTCTGCACATTGCTGCTTCTAAAGGCTATACAGATATTGCAAGGTAAGATTTTGTATTAGGTTTTAGCTACTGTTTACTTGAAGAAGTGAAGACATACATTGTTATAGTGTCTTCTGGAGACTTGAAAGGCTTCTGGAAATTCTTTGTGATACATTAGTGATTTACACTAAAATAGTTCCAAAATCATAAATACAGTACATATATGAATATACTGTACAGTAAAACATTGATAAATCGAACTTCAATAAATTGGAATTTGTTTTTTTCGGACTTTGAGATGCTCTAGTCACAAAAAAAAATACAGTAGTACCCCGATTTACGCCGTCAATTGAACCCACGGGGTACCGCGGAAAGTGAACAACAGAACATATGGGATTAATTCCAATAGAGACTGGCCCGACCCCCAAAATAGCAATTAAATGCCAGGTAGCGACGTGTCCTTCTAATATTACTTATTAAGTAATTATTAGATGTTTTAATTGCCTGTATGTTGGCCTGGCGAATTGGCTAGGAATTAACATACCTAGGTAGCATTTGCTGATAGTCGCATTCATGAGCTATATCACAAAAACTGGTTTTTAGAAAAAAACGGCTTTTTCTGACACAATACCTATGTTGTAGTAAAAATAACATCTTAATTTTATGATGGTATGTATACACAATTAATATTTAAGAGAAATACAGTCGCCAGGTTAATGTCCATTCAAATAATGGACTCAAATCCCCCCCCCCTCTCTCTCTCTCTCTCTCTTTCCAAGCTTGCTGGCTCCTCCCTCTCTGAGAAATGTTTGGGTGAAAACACTAGATTTTAAGGTACAATGAGTTCTGCTATAACGCGTGTTTTGACAACACGAATTGGCTCTAACGCGATTTATGAATAGAGGAACGATATTAGTATAGATATTTGTATAACACGAACGCTTGTTTGCTGTAACGCGATTTTTGCTTACTATTTCTCCAATTTTGTGGTATTAACTGTGAATATGGTAAAGAAGAATATCTCCAAGAAGCTTTCTGGTGATCGCATTCCCAGTGATGATCGTAAAAGAAAGGCTATAACCCTTGAAGAGAAGCTGGGTGTTATCTTCCTCAAAATCACCCTTCTCCCCCATCAAGTTATATTCATATTTATTCAAGGTAAAGTGTTACATTTACTGTATGATTTCATTATGAGATATGAATGTAACATTTATTTAGACTGCTATCCTTTGTGTTAGTCTTACTACTAAATTTTTTTCGATTTCGATTAGTAATCTGCACCTAACCCTATTTTCTCCATAAGCCCTGTTATTTCTATTACGCGAATTTCTATAACACGATGTTTTACAAGAACACAACTCAAATATCAAAACACCAACACCTCCAACAACAACAACAATAATAATAATAAATAATAACAATGCTAGTAAAATAATAAAATAATAATTAAAAAATAATAGTTACAACAATAATATAAATGAATAAACCACACAAAAAAAAATAATAAATAATGAAACTTAAAAAAATCGGCAGCTCACTAATAAAAAACAAGAAAAATGTTGTTTGTGTGTAAGTGAATGTGTAGAGCATTGAGAGTAAGTAAGGCCAGGGAGAGTGAGTGGAGGGAGGGTAAACAAAGAGTAAGGGGAAGAGAGAGTGAGAGGAGGGAGGGAATGGGGGAAAAGAGAGAGAAGAGTGAGTGAGGGAGGGATAGGGTCAGATTACTGTACACTCTAATGGGTTTCTGTGGGAAGAGATTTGTTGTGTTATATTTTGAGAACCGTAAAAAAGTTTGGTTTGGGGCAGAGGGTGTGTGTGTGTGTGTGTGTGTGTGTGTGTGTTCATCACTACAACACAACACTAACATCATCACTATAACACAACACTAACATCACTTTAAGCCAACACTAACATCATCACTACAAAACACTAACATCACTACAACACATCACTAACATCATCACTACAACACAACACTAACATCACCTTAAGCCAACACTAACATCACTATAACACAACATAATAATAATAATAATAATAATAATTAACGGTTTATTGAAAGAGCTTGGCAGCCGGAAGGCTGAGAGTATACAGTTACATACTTGGGGAATGGGTTTCGATTTACAAATAATATACAAATAACATAAGTGATACAAATAAGATATATAATAACTAGATGGGGAAAAGCTCAAACTACAGGGCATTTCAACATAGTGACAGTGCAAAAAGTAGGATTTACTGGGAGTGAATACACTGGCTTATTACAAGTTATTGATAATTTTTACAATGGTTGGGACTGGGCTGTTCTTATAGCGATCAGTACGTGCACGTATGGGCTGGATGCGGTTGTGGTGTCGAACAGCAATTCTCGGGCTAGGGATCTCAGGTGGTAGTAGGAGCCGGTGTCGAGGATGGTGCAGAAGCTTCTTACCAAATTTGCAGATGAGGTCGTGGTGATGGTCAGTGAGAGTCGAAAGGGTCAGTGTGTTGAGCGCTTCTTGATATGTGGAGTAAGAAGGGGAGAGAATAATCTTTCATGCCCTCTTTCGCACTTTTTCTAGGTGTTTACGTTGTGTGGCATTTAGGGAAGAAGACCAGGTAGGGGAGGCATAGGTGAGCTTGGGAAGTATGAATGTTGAGTAGACACTGAGGAGCTCGGGTGCTGAAACTCCGAGGGACTTGAGTCGGCTTGAGGAGGTGGAGACGGAAACTGGAGGATTTGACAACTTCACTGACGTGTGGTTTCCAATTTAGTTTGTTGTTTATGGTGACGCCGAGGAGCTTAGTGGAATCTACAACCTGGAGTGTGTTCAGACCTAAAGTAATGGAAGGGGGTGGGACAATGTCGGAGGAGAGGTTGATGTGCATAACCATGGTCTTGGTATGGTTGATGGTGACGTAGTTGTTGGTGGCCCAGTTTTGGAGACTGTTCAATAAATTCTGAAGGGCGGAATAGTCGGGAGCAGAATTGTTGACGCTGATCCCAATGGTGGAGTCGTCGACATATTTCCAGCGAGCAGGGGTTTTCTTAGGGCATCATTGATAAGCATAAGGAAGCAGAGTGGTCCCATCTTGGTGCCTTGGGGGTTGCCACGGGTGAGTGACTGAAAGGTGGAGACAGCCCCTCGGAAGCGTACAGCTTGGCGTTGGTCACTGAGGAAGTCTATAAGCCATGGTATAAGACTTCTCCGAAGCCCGAGGTCAACATCTTTGTTGATGATTAAATTGTGGTCGACTAGGTCGAATGCTTTAGTGAAATCAATGAAGGTGACAGCTACAGACGTTTTTCGTTTCTCGAGATGGCGGCATATGTAATCGAGAAAGCTGACAAGACAGTGGGTGGTGGAGGAAGTTTTCATATTGCCAAATTGCTGAGGGTCTACGACTCCTGCAATATCAACATAAGCCCAGTCGAACAAAAAGCTTTCACAGATTAGGCTGGGTATTGGGGTGATTGCAATAGGTCGTAGCTGATTTAAGGATTGTGGGCTGGTTGACTTGGGCACTGGTGATACATAAGAGGTCTTCCAGTCAGCTGGGCATCTGGCTTGACTGAGAGAATCATTGATGATGGAGCATAGGGGTTTAGCAAGCTCCGGGGAGAACTCCTTGAAGAGTTTCTTTGGTAAGACAATGGGGGTGGTAGAGCGTTTTAACTTTAGTTTGTCCAGACGTTTTGCTACTTCAAATTCTTCTACCAAGTCAGTGGGAAGGGGGGCTGGTAGGTAAGCAGGGAGAGTGGTTGTGTCAAGCCGGGGAGGCGTCTGGCATATAGTAGCGAAATGGTTATTTGATTGCTCAGCTGCGTCCACATTAGTGAGATGGCTGAGGAAGGGGAGGGGGTGTGTCTTATTGTTTAGTCCACAGAGCTCTTTAAGCTTGAATCGGCTGCTTTTCCAATTAACCAGTCCGTTCACACATATTTATATTTGGGTTTTAAGTAACGAAACCCAAACGGTAGTTCCTTTGTTTTATTATAAAAGGTTGTATGTATAATTCCTGAGTGTATATCAACCGTAAGTCTCACTGTCTAGGAGTGAATGAGAAAGGGACGGCGTTTATGTATGATAAACGTTAGGTCACGTCCTTACGATATGAGTTGAGGTGAGCTACTGAAGCTTAGGGGCATCGCAGTGCGTGCTTACAGAAATGCTGAGCTATGGGTCTCGCCCTCTTGGTAGTTGCCCGCTCACGTGTCAATCATGTCTTACTCATAGACGAGGTGGAAAGTTACAGGTCAGGTGGATCTGAATATAATATCAAGATGTATTGACCCATTACTATATCGTTCTGTTGATGAGACAGGGGCCTAATACAAGCTTACTATACCATTGACTGATGTTGGTCTGCTTCAGGTGTTGCAATTTGGTTGGGTAGTGAGACTTCTTTGCCGGTGTGTATTTCGCGAATGAGCTCAGTTCGCGAAGGGACCTGTAGCGGATGTGGTCATTGAGATGAAAAGACTCTGGCTCTCTCTGTTGCACAGTCTTTGCAGTCAGGTGTGATCAGGGCATCTTTAAGCAAACACTAACATCATCACTACAACACAACACTAACATCACTACAACACATCACTAACATCACTACAACACATCACTACAACACAACACTAATATTATTACTACAACACAACACTATCATCACTTTAGGCCAACACTAACATCATCACTACTACACAACACTAACATCACTTTAAGCCAACACTAACATCATCACTACAAAACACTAACATCACTACAACACAACACTAACATCACTTTAAGCAAACACTAACATCACCACTACAACACAACACTAACATCATTACAACACAACAATAACATCACTTTAAGCAAACACTAACATCACTACAACACATCACTAACATCATCACTACAACACAACAATAACATCACTTTAAGCCAACACTAACATCATCACTACAACACACCACTAACATCACTACAACACAACACTAACATCATTTTAAGCCATCACTAACATCATTACTACAACATAACACTAACATCACTAAGCCAACACTAACATCATCACTACAACACAACACCAACATAACTACAACACATCATCACTAACATCATCACTACAACACAACACTAACATCACTGCAAACACATCACTAACATCATCACTACAACACAACATCATCATCACTACAACACAACACTAACATCAATACTACAACACAAAACACATCACTACAAACACATCACCAACATCATCACTTCACAACACACCACTAACATCACTACAACACATCACTAACATCATCATCACAACACAACACCAACATCATCAAACACATCACTCAACATCATCACTACAACACACCACTAACATCACTACAACACAACACTAACATCACTGCAACACATCACTAACATCATCACTACAACACAACACTAACATCACTGCAACACATCACTAACATCATCACTACAACACACCACCAACATCACTACAACACATCACTAACATCATCACTACAACACAACACTAACATCATCAGTAACACACACTACTAACATCATCACTACAACACAACACAACACTAACATCATCACCAACACAACACTAACATCACTTTAAGCCAACACTAACATTCCTACAACACAACACCACATCACTACACATCACTAACATCATCACTACAACACAACACTAACATCACTAAAACACAACACTAACATCACTTTAAGCCAACACTAACATCATCACTACAACACAACACAACACTAACATCACTTAGCCAACACTAACATCTCTACAACACAACAACACTAACATCACTACAATACATCACTAACATCATCACTACAACACAACACTAACATCACTACAACACAACACTAACATCACTACAATACATCACTAACATCATCACCACACAACACAACACTAACATCACTTTAAGCCATCACTAACATCATCACTACAACACAACACCAACATCACTAAGCCAACACTAACATTATCACACAAATACCAACATCCCCAATACAACAACACTCAACATTACTTTAACACAGCCTCTACTATATTTTTTGACATCTCACTATTTCTTGTCTATTACTGTACAGTAATTTAAGACATCACCAAGGAAAACTGTGAACAAAATGACAAAGACACGGCGAAGATTTATTCAACTGCAAGAAGGAATTTAAATTCCTTGAAGAAAAAGTAATTTCACTGGTATTTCGACACAATTGATCTTACGGAAGATTTAGTCCGCGAGTATAAGAAGTATTGTGATGGCTAAGGCACCTTCCCGCTTCAGTTGTTATTATTGACTTGTTAATGTCTGCTAGGTGCTAAATGCAATGTGCGCTGTGGGGCGCCACGGCGTTGCCAGAAGTACGCTTCAGGCGCCGCTTTTCAGCCTTGTGTGAAGTCTTGGTAACGTGTCGTCAGCTGTAAAAAGCAAGTCGGTGGATATCTTCAAACCAAAAAGGTCATTACTTGTCAACAGAAAACGCAACAGACATGGAAAAACGCTACAGCCAAAACGAGTTAAAACGCCAGCTGAAAAAAGGAAGATTCTTTTCGCCATTTTTCGAGAAGCTTCATCCGGACAGTAACGACATAGCAGTTTCAATACACCTATTTCAAGAATATAACACTTTACTGTCAACAAAATGGGCTTCAGGAGATATGCCACGTTCCTGATCGACGCTTAATGGCCACCTCGAGGTCTGAGTTCACCACAGGAAGGACCGTACAAAAAGCCACTGTATTATTATAAAATGCTTAAAAATGGACTGACAGTGGAATGTAAAGATGTTCCTGAACCACCAAGACGCTGTAAATCACTCTACCACCATGTGAAACTCGACCAGATTCACCTGTTCTGGATAGGAGGTCAATCGACCTGATGGAGGTCGAACTCGATTTCTGGTCAAGGTTTAACCCACCAACACACGACTAACGCGGGCCAAGGTCGGAATCTTCACCAACACACGCATCATCGGGGTGGGCCAAAGGCTCTAACCTCGACCAACACATCACCAACGTGGCCAAGGTCGAACTCCACCAACAATACTTCCACTAACGTGGCCAAGGGGTCGTAACCCCACTCAACACACACCTGAAGCGTGGCCAAGGCTCTAACCTCACCAACACACACCCACGTGTGGCCAAGGTCGAACCCCGACTCAACACACCCAGCGTGGCCAAGGCCTAACCCGACTAACACACACCCAGCGTGGCCAAGGCCTAACCTTTACTCAACACACACCCAGCGTACAAGGCCTAACCCACTAACACACACCTAGCGGCCAAGGTCGAACCCGACTCAACACACACCTAACGGGCCAAGGTCACACTAAACACCCAAAGATCTGACCTCGAAATCTGACCTAAATCATAAGCCAAATGGGAGGAATATGATTGGGGGATTCTTCGAGTCTCCTAAATAAAAAATTTTCAATTATTACAAATACTTTTAATTTTCCTTATAAACATCACAAGTGTCATTATTTTTTTTTCTTTTTCAGCTTAACCATAAGGCTATTAATTTATAATAAAACTATATACTGTACAATATTGTTTCTCTTCCCATTGACAACAATACATACATAACGGCACAGCACAGAATACATGGTTTCTCACTCTTGATCTTTTTTTATTTTTTTTATTTCTTTATGGTTCTTTATTAGTATTATTTATTAGTATTATTACATTATTATTATTATTGTTATTGTTATCATTATTGTTTTATTATTTTAATTTTTGTATATTTTATTTAAAAATTTACTTATCTGAATTATTATTATTATTGTTATTATTATTATTATTATTATTATTATTATTATTATTATTATTATGAAAATTATTACATTTTCGCCCCCTAGGCCCTCATCCCAGGAATTTTCCGGGTTCAGTGAGTTCTGCTATAACGCATGTTTTGACAACGCAAATTGGCTCTAACGCGATTTATGAATAGAGGAACGATATTTGTATAACGCGAACGCTTGTTTGCTGTAACGCGATTTTTGCTTACTATTTCTCCAATTTTGTGGTATTAACTGTGAATATGGCAAAGAAGAATATCTCCAAGAAGGGTTCTGGTGATCGCATTCCCAGTGATTATCGTAAAAGAAAGGCTATAACCCTTGAAGAGAAGCTCGGTGATATCTTCCTCAAAATCACCCCTCTCCCCCATTAAGTTATATTCATATTTTTTCAAGGTAAAGTGTTACATTTACTGTATGATTTCATTATTAGATATGAATGTAACATTTATATAGACTGTGCTATCCTTTGTGTTAGGCTAACTACTAAATTTTTTTCGATTTCGAGTAGTAATCTGCACCTAACCCTATTTTCTCCATAAGCCCTGTTATTTCTATTACGCGAATTTCTATAACACGATGTTTTACAAGAACACAACTATCACGTTATAGCAGAACTGACTGTATAGTAATAAATAATACCTCAGACTAAAGTTAGGATTATATAATTGACATTTCTGGATTCCTTGCAGGTCAAGGAATATTTTGAATGTAAACTTCATATATTTTGCACAAAAGATAAAATATTTGCTTTGTGTAAACCAAATTATTACATTAGATCTAAAATTTGGTTGTCTAATGCAAAATCCATGATGTTTATATTCAAAATGATCATCATATTGTAAGAATTTCAGCAATGTAAATTATATTCTGGCCTGGTAATTTGTATGAATTTTATGAGCTAAATAAAAAAATTATACTTCACCCGCGTATATGAGTAGATGCACCGCGGAAAATGAAATTCCGGTTCTGGCGAGGTATACCACATGTGCATAGACAGCTTTTCATAAATTTTTATATGCCATCTGAAAAAGTTGCAGTGTGTGGATATGTCCATCAGCTCTCATTATTTTTTTTTTCTAATATTAAACCTTGATATTTTTAAGATACCTCACCCATATTTTATTAAACATGAACCAACAGTAGCTAGATGATGTGTCACATGCAACAACCATGTCCCTACATCTCTGACGAAAAGTTTAATACCGGTAATAGTGTCATTATTCCACATTTATCCCGCACACATGCATGTACTAACCTTTTTTCTCCTACTATTGATTGTAATTTCAGGTGTATTGTACATGCTGTTGGTGTATCTCGTGTTTTATGATGAGTATTTGATTGCGAGATGATTATTTAAAAATAAATTCTTTTGTTCATGACATTTTATGATAAAAATATCTTCAAATGTAAGAATGGTTCTGGAAGTAATAGATAAATGTTAAAATTTTAATTGTCTACATTTAGATGAACATAAAAATTAACACATTAGAATATTATTTCAGACTGTTGCTTCAGCATGGGGCTGATCCAAATCAACGAGATGCCATTGGCAATACTGCTCTCCATCTCGCAGCTTGTACTTCCCATATTCCTACAGTCACTCTTCTCTTGAAGGCAGGTCAGTACCATAGATGCTTTGGGTATGATGAGTGATCTGTCTCTAGCCTGTGGGTTATATTGGGGTAATAGGTGATCTGTCTCTAGCCTGTGGGTTATATAGGGGTAATACAGTAGGTGATCTGTCTCCAGCCTGTGGGTTATATAGGGGTAATACAGTAGGGGATCTGTCTCCAGCCTGTGGGTTATATAGGGGTAATACAGTAGGGGATCTGTCTCCAGCCTGTGGGTTATGGGGAAAGGGATCTGTCTCAGCCTGTGGGTTATATAGGGCACAGTAGGTGATCTGTCTCTAGCCTGTGGGTTATAGGGGTAATACAGTAGGGTGATCTGTCTCAGCCTGTGGGTTATATAGGGGCACAGTAGGTGATCTGTCTTAGCCTGTGGGTTATAGGGTAATACAGTAGGTGATCTGTCTCAGCCTGTGGGTTATATTGGGGTAATAGGGATCTGTCTCCAGCCTGTGGGTTATATAGGGTAATACAGTAGGTGATCTGTCTCAGCCTGTGGGTTATATAGGGAACAGTAGGTGATCTGTCTCCAGCCTGTGGGTTTATAGGAACAGGGTGATCTGTCTCAGCCTGGGTTATATAGGGTAATACAGTAGGACTGTCTCAGCCTGTGTTATAGGTAATACAGTAGGTGATCTGTCTCAGCCTGGGGTTATATTGAATAGGTGATCTGTCTCCAGCCTGTGGGTTTATAGGTGGGTACAGTAGGTGATCTGTCTCCAGCCTGTGGGTTATATAGGGGTAATACAGTAGGTGATCTATTCCAGCCTGTGGGTTAAGGAACAGTAGGTGATCTGTCTCCAGCCTGTGGGTTATATTGTAATAGGTGATGTCCTAGCTGTGGGTTATATTGGGGTAAGTATCTGTCTCAGCCTGTGGGTTATATAGGGGTAACAGTAGGTGATCTGTCTCAGCCTGTGGGGTTATAGGGAATACAGTAGGTGATCTGTCTCCAGCCTGTGGGTTATATAGGGGCATGGTGAGGTGATCTGTCTCTGTGGGTTATATTGGGGGGATCTTTCCAGCCTGTGGGTTATATAGTAATAGGTGATCTGTCTCTAGCCTGTGGGTTATATAGTAATACAGTAGGGGATCTGTCTCTAGCCTGTGGGTTATATAGAGTAATACAGTAGGTGATCTGTCTCAGCCTGTGGGTTATATAGGGGTATACAGTAGGGGATCTGTCTCCAGCCTGTGGGTTATATTGGGGATAGTGATCTGTCTCCTGTTTAGTATTGTCGTGGGGATCTGTCTCAGCCTGTGGGTTATATGGGTAATACAGTAGGTGATCTGTCTCAGCCTGTGGGTTATATTGGGGTAATACAGTAGGGGATCTGTCTCCAGCCTGTGGGTTATATTGGGGTAATACAGTAGGGGATCTGTCTCTAGCCTGTGGGTTATATAGAGGTAATACAGTAGGTGATCTGTCTCTAGCCTGTGGGTTATATAGGAGGTAATACAGTAGGTGATCTGTCTCTAGCCTGTGGGTTATATTGGGGTAATACAGTAGGTGATCTGTCTCTAGCCTGTGGGTTATATAGAGGTAATACAGTAGGTGATCTGTCTCTAGCCTGTGGGTTATATTGGGGTAATACAGTAGGTGATCTGTCTCTAGCCTGTGGGTTATATAGAGGTAATACAGTAGGTGATCTGTCTCTAGCCTGTGGGTTATATTGGGGTAATAAGTAGGTGATCTGTCTCTAGCCTGTGGGTTATATAAATTACAGTGGTGATCTGTCTCTAGCCTGTGGGTTATATAGGGTAATACAGTAGGTGATCTGTCTCTAGCCTGTGGGTTATATAGAGGTAATACAGTAGGTGATCTGTCTCGCCTGTGGGTTATATTGGGGTAATACAGTAGGGGATCTGTCTCTAGCCTGTGGGTTATATTGGGGTAATACAGTAGGGGATCTGTCTCTAGCCTGTGGGTTATAGAGTATACAGTAGGTGATCTGTCTCTAGCCTGTGGGTTATATAAGTGTACAGTAGGTGATCTGTCTCTAGCCTGTGGGTTATATTGGGTAATACAGTAGGGATCTGTCTCAGCCTGTGGTATATTGGGGTATAGGTGATCTGTCTCAGCCTGTGGGTTATAGAGGTAATACAGTAGGTGATCTGTCTCAGCCTGTGGGTTATATTGGGAAGGTGATCTGTCTCAGCCTGTGTTTATTCTTCTCTGGGTTATATAGGGGTAATACAGTAGGTGATCTGTCTCTAGCCTGTGGGTTATATTGGGGTAATACAGTAGGTGATCTGTCTCAGCCTGTGGGTTATATAGGGGTAATACATTGATCTGTCTCCAGCCTGTGGGTTATGAGTAATACATGGGTGTGTCCAGCCTTGGGTTATATAGGGTATAGGTGATCTGTCTCAGCCTGTGGGTTATATAGAGGTAATACAGTAGGTGATCTGTCTCCAGCCTGTGGGTTATATAGGGGGTAATACAGTAGGTGATCTGTCTCCAGCCTGGGTTATAGGGGGTAATACAGTAGGTGATCTGTCTCCAGCCTGTGGTTATATTGGGGTAATAGGTGATCTGTCTCTAGCCTGTGGGTTATATAGGGGTAATACAGTAGGGGATCTGTCTCTAGCCTGTGGGTTATATTGGGGTAATACAGTGGGTGATCTGTCTCCAGCCTGTGGGTTATATGGGGTAATACAGTAGGTGATCTGTCTCAGCCTGTGGGTTATATTGGGGTAATAGGTGATCTGTCTCAGCCTGTGGGTTATAGGGGTAATACAGTAGGTGTCTGAGCCTGTGGTTATTGGGGAATAGGTGATCTGTCTCAGCCTGTGGGTTATATAGGGGTAATACAGTAGGGGATCTTCTCTAGCCTGTGGGTTATATTGGGGTAATACAGTAGGGTCTGTCTCCAGCCTGTGGGTTATATTGGGGTAATAGGTGATCTGTCTCAGCCTGTGGTTATATAGGGGAAACAGGGTGATCTGTCTCCAGCCTTGGGTTATATAGGGGTAATACAGTAGGGGATCTGTCTAGCCTGTGGGTTATATAGGGGTACTAGGTGATCTGTCTCTAGCCTGTGGGTTATATAGGGTAATACAGTGGGGGATCTGTCTCTAGCCTGTGGGTTATATAGGGGTAATACAGTAGGGGATCTGTCTCTAGCCTTGGGTTATAGGGGTAATACAGTAGGTGATCTGTCTCTAGCCTGTGGGTTATATAGGGGTAATACAGTAGGTGATCTGTCTCCAGCCTGTGGGTTATATTGGGTGGTGATCTTCTCAGCCTGTGGGTTATAGGGGTAATAGGTGATCTGTCTCTAGCCTTGGGTTTATAGGGTATACAGGGTGATCTGTCTCAGCCTGTGGGTTATATGGGGGTAATACAGTGGGGATCTGTCTCCAGCCTGTGGGGTTATATAGGGGTAATACAGTAGGTGATCTGTCTCTAGCCTGTGGGTTATATAGGGGTAATACAGTAGGGGATCTGTCTTATGTGGGTTATATAGGGGTAATACAGTAGGTGATCTGTCTCTAGCCTGTGGGTTATATAGGGGTAATACAGTAGGTGATCTGTCTCAGCCTGTGGGTTATATTGGGGTAATGGTGATCTGTCTCTCTGTGGGTTATATAGGGGTAATACAGTAGGTGATCTGTCTCTAGCCTGTGGGTTATATAGGGAGTAATACAGTGGTGATCTGTCTCCAGCCTGTGGGTTATATAGGGGTAATACAGTAGGTGATCTGTCGCCTGTGGGTTATATAGGGTAATACAGTGGGATCTGTCCCTGTGGGTTATATAGGGAGTGTGATCTGTCTCTAGCCTGTGGTTATATAGGGGTAACAGTAGATCTGTCTCAGCCTGTGGGTTATATAGGGGTAATACAGTAGGTGATCTGTCTCTAGCCTGTGGGTTATATAGGGAGTAATACAGTAGGTGATCTGTCTCTAGCCTGTGGGTTATATTGGGGTAATAGGTGATCTGTCTCTAGCCTGTGGGTTATATAGGGGTAATACAGTAGGTGATCTGTCTCCAGCCTGTGGGTTATATAGGGGTAATACAGTAGGGGATCTGTCTCCAGCCTGTGGGTTATATAGGGGTAATACAGTAGGGGATCTGTCTCCAGCCTGTGGGTTATATAGAGGAAAATATGGGATAAGACAGAGGACAGGTAACTGGGTCAGGTTAGATAACAGTCCGCTTCATACATGGAGTATGTAGCCCAAAGGTAAGCGTAGAAATGCGCACACACACACACACACACACACACTTTAGAAACCTGTCTGGAGAAAACAGTCACACCTATAATTGACTCGACTGGACTACCATACAGTATATTGGAATTTATTTTTTTTTTTCTAATCTGGACTAACTGGGGGAAAGTCTCTCCAGGTTGGGTGGTGGTCTGTACTGTATCTATTGCAGGGTGTAAAATTCAAGAAGATGGGAATTTCTGACTCAGGCTACCTAAGGGCACCGAACCTACTGTAATTTTTAGCCTAGACGTAACACACACAGGGTTTTTATACACCATATGAGCAATTTTTTTTGTCATTAAGGTTTTCAAAAATGTAGAAAAGGTTCATATTTCCTGTGTGTCTCATATGCTCCCAGACAATTGGTGTTTGCTCTCAGTACAGCTGTACTCAGTGAGTCGCCCATAAGCTGGTGTTGCCGGACACTTTCTTACATCTGGCAGTCGTGTATGCTATCTCGACTGTCTCACTCGGCTTTATTCGAGCCTCATGACCCAATTACATCTCCATTTCATGGCTCATATCACATAGATGTCGAGTGTTGGTTTCGTCTCCACAGTCTGTAACCAACACTTGAGTAGTTGATGAGACTATGTCCCCATACTACACTCAGCATCCAGGCCTCCCACGACCTTTGGACTTCAGGGTAAGAGAAGTTGTGAGAAATCTTTGTTTTCCTCCTGTTCAGAGATGCCCCATGCCAACCGCTTTGTGGATTCTCCCTGAAGTTCAAGTTTGTCAGTATTTTAACAAAGGGAAGGACTTACTCCCTCCCTGTGTTGTCCATTCTCCTTTTTTAGAGCATTCCTCCTCTCACAGAAGGACCATCCCTGTATACACCGATGGCTCTAAGTCAGATGCAGGGGTGGGTTTTCGGGGTGGTCTTTCCCGTATTCTGCCAGGACGGTAACCTCCCCACTATGGCATCTATTTTTACGGCAGAGCTGTTGGGTATTTTACTTGCCCTCAAGATTATTTTAACCCAACTTCATAGCCTTAGCCACTGTCTCATTGCCTCATTCCATAGTTATAGATATTTTACAGTGGCTGTTTCTCATTCAACATCGGGGCCGGAAAGTCAGTTTTTGCTGGGTTCCGTCCCACGTGGGGGAGAAGGGTAATGAGCGTGCTGATGCTGTGGCAAAAGCAGCTGCTTCTCGCCCTGTGGCACATTGTTCACCTCTACTTGACTCTGTTATGAAGATAGTAATAAGAGCTGCCATGCGCTTGAGTTGGCATTGTAGGTGGGATGCTGTCAGAGCAAACAAGCTCCGGGACATCCTCCCAGCATTGGGTGTCTGGGGATATCAGGGACTGTCATGCCGCGAAGAGATTGCAATGGCCTGCCTCTGTAATGGGGCCACACAGCTGACTCTTGGTTTTCTAATGGAGAGGATGCTCCTTTCCTATTGTGATAACTGCCTGATCCCATTGACTGTTTGACACCTGGTGGAGTGCCCCAGTTTCAGAGATCTTCATAATAAGCACCACCCCCAGTACTGGGGAGAGACGGGTCTTACCGTCTCTCTTTGGTGCTTGTGGGGGAGTGGATAGAGTTGGAATTGTCTGAGGTGAAATTAGAGGAGAATAAGATGCCAAAAAGATTGGCTTTATCAGGGGGATAGTTGGCTATAGAGTTATCAGGTCGGAAGAGAGGAGGAGAAAAGAGGGTGCAGAAGTTATTAACAGATGTTTTTAGTAAAGGACCAGAAGGATTTATTAGAAGAAGAGTCAGTCAGGTCAGCGGTCTTTATTTTTATAAAGTTCCGCTTGGCCCTATGAAGAATAGCCTTACAATGATGTCTAGAAGTAATGAAAGAGGAGTGGGTAACAGGAGGAGATAGTTTCATAACTTGATCTGCCCTATATCTCTCCCTACATGCAAGAGAGCAGGAGCGATCAAACCATGATTGTAAAGTGAAAGTTTTGGTAGAAGATGGGATAAATGCACTCATACTACCCTTTATAACCCCAGCAAGGCTGTCAGAACATACCGAGGGATCCCAAGTGGAAAAGCAACATTCATCCCAAGGAAAGTCCTCCGATAGTGCCACAGTTGGCATTTAGAGAGAGGTGGGGGAGATGGTCATTACTTCACATAGACCCATGCTCTTCATTTTTCTTATTAAATAATTTTATGTTATATATTCTTTATTTCTAAGCCACATTAGAGTACTGTATTGTTATGATTTTTCCACAATTTTTATAGTTTCATTACATATTGGCAACATGCTATCTCACAGGCCACCTCATACCCAGGTTTTTCCCTTTCCAGTGAGTCAGGTTATCACCAAACCGAATTTTGACCTAATGTTAAATGAGAAAGGCTGCTAATTTTTTGTCATCGTTGAACATTAAGTGAATTAACACTAAACGAGGGATACCTGTACCAACTCGTCAGGGCTACACCCAGCTCTGTCCCTTAAACCTGCACATCCCCTCCACTCACCCACCTGGGGACATGCAACAGTTGTCATTAATCCTGTTGTAACTTATGTAGGCTGTATGCTGTCACTAGTGAGTGCTGGAGATTCATAAATACAGCAGCGTTTTAAAATGGCAGTGACGCTGCCATCCTGCCATTTTAAAACGATAGTGACATTACAGATGACCAGCAGCTCCCACACACATTGGTTATGGTGAATCTTCCCTCTTTCCTTGCTGTTTGCTACTATGCATTTGTGCAGAAATGCAGTCACTATATAATTGTTGTGAGAAATCATACCCAATAGGTTGAAAACTATTTTTTTGTAGGTATTCATGCTTATGTACTCTTTCTATTTGGCCAGCTTTGATTACTCGTGGACCATAGGAGAAATAACACATTACCCATTATTTATGTGATGTTTGATTCTTTGACCAAATTTGCATTCCAGCCACAGTTAATCGTGTGTTTTTCATTGGAAAGTATTGTAGGTTCAAATTTATGATCATAAATCAAAAGCCAAGGAGACTTATTTTTACCAGTCTAAAATATTTTTGAAAATGTGGCAGGTGTGATTAAGAGACTTTATTAGATTTTAAAGAACACAAGTCAAAGTTTTGTACAGGTCAGGGGCTTATATTATGATCAGTACCGCTCCTTTGTTTTGTCATAATTTAGCTTCCTCATTGTACTTACATTCTTTATAGAGTAATGCTCATTGTTTTCATGCATTCTTATTGTTAACTGAGCCAACAACCAAACTACTGTAACTCTAATCTGTTTTTCAGCTTCCCTTAAATAAGTAACAATAGTGAAGAAACACATGTCTTATGTACGATATTATAATTTAGGTACCAATGTGAGGCAGACAGACAACCAGGGTTACTCACCTCTACACCTGGCCCGCTCCAAGCTGAAGCTCCTCCAGAGAGATAATAACTCTTCCTCTCAAGAAATCAAGAAACAAGTTTATCAGGTTTGTGTGAGGCACTTGAATTTTCAATTTTTTTTAGGAATCTTTCTCTGTTATAATAGTAAACCTCAGGATAACCGACTAATTGGGGGAAAACCATTCTTGCTAAAGCTGAAAACTCATTAAAACAGACTGCCCAGTAATTATTTCAAACTGAAGGGGGGGAAGGGGGCTTGAATTATCAGATACGAACACCCGCCGATACGAACGAGGTCCCGTAAGGTCAATTATTTTAAATATCCAACATAAGTACAACTGGTTCGTAGCATTACGTAAGAGAACTGGTTTGTGTGGCATAGAGGGAGGCAGAGCGACGCGTGGGGATTGATGCATCACACTCAGCCCCGTTCCTTGAGGGAGCAGCAGTGTCAGTACCCTTTATCCTCACCACCTTGACGTGTGTGATCAAGTGCAAACTGTTGTTTTTTGCTTATTACAGTAACTCTTTTTCGGCTCTCATCATGACTCCCTAACATAAACCTGATGCAAGTGATAGTAGTACATCCCAAAAAAGGAAATAATTACAATGCCATTTTTCTATGTTTGTACACTGTAGCATGAATTTTATTTGCAGGTTATAGAAATGATGCAAACTTTCCTGGAATGTGCAGGAAGTGTAGAGGAGGCTGAGCTGCTCACATCTTTTACTAGTCAGCTGTCACTGTCTGACTCCCGCCAACAGGTGGAGAGTGATGTACAGGCTCTCCTCAATTCTCTCAATGACCTCAGTCTTGTCAAGTCTAAGGCTGCATGAAAGACAGAATGCTACTCACAAAAACTCATACGATGTAATCACGTGTTGTGAACTCGAACTATGTGGACTTGCTAAGTGTAGAGTGTTGTGAAGACAAGGTATCATAGAATTAATAAGCTAGTGATACAGTATTTTGTAATACTTGGGGCCTTAGAGAGTTCTTTCAGAGATCTTCTGAGGTGTACAGTGTTCTGATTACAGATGATGCAAATATGTTGTATTTTAACAAAGTACAGTAGCTTCATTGCTGACTTATCAAGTATTGAAGAAATCTTATCTGATGCTGACCTAAACCTCTAAAGAAAGTTTTTAATGGTATTTGCAGTTAGGTAATAAGATAAATGAGGCAATGAAGCATCATACTTTAAATTCTAAAAGGGTAACCATTAAAATTTAAATATTTGTGCCTAAAATTCATAAATGTATATTAACACCTGCCTCTGTGTGGTGGCAGTGGCATGATAAACATGTTAGAAAACAATACAGAAACAGTGGAACCATTTAGGTTTTGAACGAAGGTTTGAATCTAAGAGTCACTCAAGGTAGGTTGTTAATGTTGTAAGTCTCATAACTTGGTAATCCTGAGCTAGTCAGTTTCCTACTTGTGCTAGGCAGAACATTGAACATTATCTCTTAGATATTCCATTTTATTGCATTAGCTATAACCCCATAAACATGTACTTGGGGTGATTTATGTACAGAAAGAACTAGAGAAATATATTTCAATGAGTGAATCCCTAAAATGTGAAACAAACAAAAAATATATATATAATGCCAATAAATTGAACAACATATGTAACAGAAAAACAAGGACTTCCACAATACTTCTGTACAGTAGAACACTTGCCATGCATGTATTCTCTTTGCATTTTAAGAAAGTTTGCCTTCAGGAAGAAAATGTATATACCTGTACTGTACTGTGACATAGAAATACCAAATAGTGAAAGATATGCAATATTTTCAATGAGAGAGGAAATTATCAGAGAGAAATGAAATGTAAGAATACTTCTAGATATCATTTTCCACACAAAAATATATGTCAAAGGTTCATGTAACCTGTGTCCAGTAATCCTAGGTTGGAAATTTATTTTATTTTATTTTATTGTTATTTATTATTTATTTTATTTATTTTTTATAATAAAGTGTTTCAGAAATCCTCAGAGCAACTAAGTTATGTACATTATATCTAAGTTATCTAATATTTAAATGAATTAAATTGCATATCTGTGTTAAGAGTATGTGTACTTGTCATAATACACATGATTTTTGGTTTCACAAATACTTTGATTCCTAAAACACATTTAGACAACCAAAATTTTTGATTTATAAAGTTATTATCCATATAAATCAGACTATTTTGATATAGTGTAATAAGTAACCTAATGTTTTGGTCAGTAAAACTTTAATGAAGTGCTTAAGCCTATCTTAACTTTAGCTTGGAATTATTGCAAATGGTCAAGAAAGGTTGTCCTTTACAATTTTTAAACCAGAAAGTGAAGTAAGAAGAATGCACTGATAGAGATGGTGGTTTAGTGCATGTGCGCCTTTTAGGGTCATAATTGGGTGTCACAGTCTAGTCTGAGCCACAATTCAGGCATACCTGGTCACTCTATTTTCCTGTGCTTAGAATCGGCAATTGTGTCTCCCCGGGATCTTTCGTCCTGTATCTGATGGATGGTTTATCTTCTGGAAGCTAGACAGCTGCATCTTAGTCTCTGTCAATATAATTATTTCCATTAAGTTATGGTGATATCTCCATTAGCCGGAACAATTGGTGCAGAGCACTTCTGGGAACGAGAGATTTCCGGGTAATGAGACGATTCTCAAAGCTGGAAAAATATCCCCCGTCCTCGGAATTTTCTAGGTAACGGAAAAATGTTCTTGGACGTTCCAGAAATTGCCTACTACATCATCTCTCGAACCTAGAAAAATATCCCCCATCCCCGGAATCTTCCGGGTACCGGAAAATTTTTCTCGGAATTTCCGGAAAATACTCCCGATTTTCATATCTCAAACCCAGAAAAAGACTACCCCCATCTTCGGAATTTTCCGGCTATCGGGAAAATTTTCCCATAATTTTCTGGAAAATGTGCCCCTCAGAAAATTGTTTCCAAAACCAAAAATTCCGGCTTTGGGAAAAATTTTCTGAGAAAATTTCAATTCCGGCTATTGGAGAGTTCCGGGTTTGAGAAATTCCGGCTAACAGAGATATTACTGCAGTGGTGATCTGTTAGGCTAGGTTGGATTAGCTTTTTATTTATAAATTGTGTTTGTCGTACTCCCACTTACTATAGAGCCATGAAGCATTGTGCCTGAGCTTTGTTGTTTCTCTTCTGACTACAGACCACAGTGTAAAGAGAGCTCCTTCAGTTTCTGTTCGGCAGATCTCACTTACGTACAGTATGTATAAATTATATTAAGCTAATAACACAAGTGTTTGCTATTTATTGTGTAAGTATGGTAGGAGTGGGTTTGTTAAGGCCATGAACCAGATGGAAGTTAATTAGAGTTCTTTTAACAGGTTAAGTGAGATTGAGGTGGATCAGTATTTAAGAAATTGCTGACAGGGATGGATTATGGATGTGCTGGTAAGTGTTGTGACAAAATATTTTCACATATGAATGTGATGTACAGTTGCCTACAAAATACTCTCGACGTGTCTGGTAGTACTACTGTACTCATACTGACATTGAGATCGTGTCACGATGTTTCAGTCTCCTATCTCTTGTTCTATAAAGCAAGGCACACCAAAGTGTTTCTTATTTGCATGATTTTTTGCCTTTATGTTGTTTGTGTTTTCTCAGATGTTACCAGATGTGTTAAGAGTATTTTGTCAGTGACTGTACATATAAGAAGTGTTTTGCAATTTCAGTGTTTCAAATGAGGTTGTGCTCGTATATTGTTCCCATTTTTTCTTTATCTCTGCTTTTAGTCTCTTTAAGTAAAATGGTAACACTTATTCAGTACTGTATTATGCAGCCAAATGATATTCAGGTACATATTTCCACAAGTATTGCCTGAATGGCAGCAGATATGGTTTTATAAAAGGATGAGTGAGTGATCTGGCTTTATACTCTTGATAAGCATTATGCAGTGCAGGCATAATTCAGAACTGAATTAGGAATAAAACAAACAAGTTTATTTGAAAGTCGATAATATTATTATTATTATCAAATTGATTTTGGTGGAGCTGCTACTTAAAGACTAGACTTTTCAGTATAGTATTGTCTATTTTATACTGATATGTATAGCATAAATTGTATTTTCCTATGACAGATTGTGTTTGTCCTCATATTGTACAAGCTACAGCTCGCTCATAATATGTTGCCAATGGTTAATGAGCAACTTTTAGTAGGTTTTATATTTTGTCAGTTGATAAAAAATATCTGAAGAGCATCAGACCTTATTAGTTAGTTAAAAGAACTTTATTTTATTTATAACTTGTTCCACTGGAGTTATTTTCTTAGTTTATGAATTCATTGTAATTCCCCTGCTAGAATGACTTGATCATTATGGGATTAAGAAAATGTTATCCTGTATTAAATAAGACATTGACAGGATATAGTTTAAGGGGTCACTGCTGGGGTTCGAAGTTGGCATGACACTATTTTTGAGAGCTTGTCTGTGGCTGAGAGAGTTAACAAGTGTGTAGCATCAAAAGCCACTTGTGTCATGCCAGCAGTCAGTCTTTAAATTGACCCTCAAGTGGGGTACAAAAAATAACCTGGGTTCATATCTCCCTAACCTCATTGAATTTTTATGGGGGGGGTGGGGTGGGTCACCTTACCTGTTCACATTTTTTACAAGATACTTCAGGATTCTTTCCCATAAACAAAGAATTAGCGTCTGTTCACACACAGGAGTTCAAAAAGATTCTTTTGTTAATTTTGGACTCCTAAAGAGACCCTGTTAAGATTAGAATAATTTATTAGATTGGATAATGATCACTGTAACTTTGATGGTAATGTACAGAACTTTAATTCACTCAACATTAAGTTGCATTAATTTGATTAATGTAATGTTAAAATTTAAATTGTGGAGAGGTTGTAAGAAATTATATTATAGTTAGGTGACTGGTAAGAGAGAACTACATCAGACCATGCAGCATGGAGAGCTGTCATCAGGTAATTATGAATAAACCACACATGCATGGAAAATGGCTGTAGAATGTTTGTGGTTATAATAATGATATTTAGATTCATTGATGGAAAGCATAGAAAAGTGGTTCACGCTCCAGGTTCACAAAGATTTATTAATTTTGTTCCCCAACTGGTCTTGATAATATAGTAGAACCTCTATACACCGGAATTCACTTTTTCGGACTATTCACAATCTGTGTGTGGGTGTTGCATGTCTCAGTCTGAGTCCTGCCTTCATATGTATTATGTCAGTGCCTGCACCTCACTACCAACACTCATTTACATGAATCTTTTTTATGTAGAGTCTTCAACAGGGATACTTGAGGGTTTTAAGAAATGGGTAAAATTATGTACAAAGACATGTCAAAGGGGTCCTGGGGGTGGGAGCCTCCCCCCGCTGCTCCCAGATTACTTTCATCTCCCACTCACAATATATCCCTCCCTACACTCTTCTTTTTTTTCTTTTTTATTTGTTTATAGTACTGTACAGTAAAATGCAGTTTTCTATATTATTAAGGCAAATTCTGTGGTTACTTACATAAAACACTTTACAGTACGTAACAATCATATCAGTGAAAACAGATGTCAACAAACCCGACTTAGTTAGATTTTCAACCCGGATTGTTCTGTCTCAAATTATTTTGTAGATGAAATAGTGTTTTACTAACTTTCTTATATGCTTAAAGACCTTAGTTCATATAAGTAGTACAGGTTGTACCTCTCTAGTCTGGCATTCTGTGGTCCGGAACGATTTTAGTTTGCCCATGGAGAAAATTAATTTGAGTCTGGTACTTTCGATGTTTGGCTAAATTTTGCCTTATTACCCTACTTTTTGGGCAAATTACTACCTGTAATAAAGCAACATCCTAATAAACCAATGAAAATAACACAGATAAAGTTAAATGAAAACTAAAAACAACACAGAAAAAGTTTTTCTGTTCTACGTCTTCAGGTAGAGTTAACCTGATGACTTGGCAACTTCGTCATCCGAGTAAAAACACACACAGCAACATTAGCTGTCCTTATGTTTTCAACTTTACCACCACTGCTGGGTAGAATTTTTTTTTTAATTCAGAAACATTAATTAAAATATATATGAACAGTAAATAAGTGTTGCTTTCATATTCTTATGTAGAGTAATGACGATATGTTTTCACGTGCACATTTACATACGCGCACTCACGTTTTTTCTTTACCATTAATGGTTAGCTACTTTTATTGTTCCATTTATTAACATTACTTAAAACAACCATATTAATTTTATTACAGCTACATCCAGAGTCTTATTTTTTTCAGTTTTATATGTAGAACCAATCAGTCACTGGTTTTGTAAACATTAACGAAAACAATGCCGTCTCGTCTCCTCGTGTGTTTTAATATTCTACATATTATTAATGAATTGTATTGTTCATTTTGCACACACAAACATTAATTCAATCAAAAAGACATTCAGTAATAAACAATAATGAATATTTTGTACATAAGAGAAATGACGCTGTTTACACGGTTGTGCACGTCTGAACGTTGGCGGGCCGCTCAAACCCGTCGAAATTTGAGTTTCCGCCGTCGAATTTTTAAATTGTGTAATTTTTTGTTTTTCAAAATAAAAAACGGCAAATTAAAAACTCGCAAAATTTGAGAACCACTGTACAACATTTAACCCTTCACTATATCTTCAAAGAGACCACGAAGCAGTGACAGTGGTGCTAGTGCTTCCAAGTGTAAGCACAAGTCACTATCTATCCAGGAAAAGGGTGAATTTCCATGGTCCGGCACCGGTCAGGTCCCGAGGTTGCCGGACTACAGAGGTACAACCTGTACTATGTCCACCCCCCCCATTCCCTCTCCCCATAGATTTGCTTTTTTCGGACTTTTGCATTTTCTGGACTGGGGTCTGTCATATTTAGTTCGGTGTATCAAGGTACTGCTGTCCTTCTACAATTTTTATTCTAAATCAGGCATCAACTTTGTGTTGCAGCTTAAGTTCATCAGTTAGATGCCCTTTTATAATTTCATTTATATAGGAAAATTTAACATAAAAATTCTCTTTGATTACTCCATCCATGAAAGGCTGAAACCATAGCAACATTATGCATCCTTGAAATAGTCCTACTTTCAGTGGAAACTAGTTTCTCTCTTTCCATCACACTCTCAATACATGGTTACATCTCTCTGTCAAAACGTTGTACAAGTATAACATTCAACAATTTCCCATTTATCCA